CTGCCATGATCCTTTGTTCTCTGTGAAAACCAGGAAGTGTGTATATGGTACAGAAAGTCCGTGCAGCTGCTATGTGGATGTCAGTAGATAGAGTCACCACTGCTCTGCCTGCAGCCTCCCCACCCCCAGCCTCTCCTCTAGGCCTCTGTGTCCCTGGCTCGGGGTGAGCAGCCGAGAGTGGCTGCACGTACCTGCATTTCTCCTCCGCCTTGACAGGCTGGTTCTTCAAGCAGCCCACTTTGAAAGCTGCGTTTTCCTAATAATGCCAAAAGGAAACAAATGGGCTGCAAAAAAATCTTTTTTTTTCTTAAGAGCCTGAGTGTAAATAAATAAATAAATGAATAAATGGAGCCATACAAAGAAAAGGATAAAAAATAAAATCTAAGCTGTGAGCCCGGCGCTTGGCCTGAGGTATAAATAGCTGGATCCTAGGAGGCGTCTGGTAATGGCTGGCGTGTGTGTGTGTGTGTGTGTGTGTGTGTGTGTGTGTGTGTGTGTGTGTGTGTGTGGTGATGTCCAGGAGAGCTTCTGAAGCCATCTCTTCCCTTGGAGAGTGTAAGTCAAGAGAGGTGCCCCTACCCCCAGATTGTTTTCTTTTAAGTTGTAATTAAGAAAAGTTGGAGACCGGGTCTTATGCAGCCCAGGCTGGCCTCCCGCTCTGTGGCAGAGAATGACCTTGAGCTGGTCCTTCTGCCTCCAGGTGCCCCATGTGCGGATTAAAGGTGTGCATTCATTCCCGATTCTGACTTTGTGCTTTTTTAGGCTTATGTAGTCTTTGGAGAAGGAGTGAGGAGACAAGAGGGTTGCCTCAGTCACTCCGTGCTCTCTTCTCCGTCTTCCCCTCCCCCTCCCCTTCCTTCCATCTCTCCTTCCCTGGCCTCCAACTCCACTCCTCTCTGGCCTCCATCTCCCTCCTTTCCTGGCTTCCTCTTCATGGTCCTCAGCTGGTATCTCTCTACAAGCAGCGAGAGGGCTCCTGGCCAGAAGGATTATGCTGATAGGCATTCTCCATGTCTGGCTGCTGGGTTGCGTGTGGACAGGGTGTTCAGCTCAGAACAATGAGGATGCTTGGAAGAGCCAGGCCAGCAGGCTCCTATGAGTCAGTGTCATCCCAAGCCTAGCCCAGGCCTGGAACTGAGCACAGCTCAGTCGGTGGCGTCTCACATCTTTGAAGTGCGCGTCCTCTTGGCATCTGGACCATAGCTTTAAAAAAATCTCAGCATTCCTGAGACTTACTGAAACCCAGTAACCTGTTGGGCTGCTTTCTGGTAGAGTGGAAGACACAGGCTCTCCAAAACCATCCTCTGAAGCCTGGTGGGTCCTCTGTAGCTGCCCATTGGGTTAACACTGGAAACAGTTCAGTGCAGTGGGATCTACTGGAAGATTCAAGCTGGGGCAATGGACTCCTCTGCCCTTGGTGTCTGTGGACTCCTGGGCTGGGCCCCACCCACCACCCACTGCTCTCTAGTCCCCAAAGCTGCTCCTGAGTCTGACCTTCTTTCAAGACTGGTTCATTGGATGACTCCTCCAAGGAGCGTCCCATGGTTCTCTGGGCATGAAGGATGACCTGTGCCTCCTTCTTGGTCTTCCATGACTGTGGCTGTCCTGAGCCATCACCAGTCACAGCTAACCCTCCGGCTTACGGCTATGTGTGCAACCTGAACCAGGTGTTGAGTGCCCCAGGCCCGTCCATTCCTCTGAACACCTGTGAGCAGGGACTCTTCCCAGCCTTGTGCTACAGAGGGGAAACTGAGACTTAGTGAGGAGCAGGGGGCTTGCCTGTCACCACAAGTGTGTGACAGACTGAGGTTTGAGCTGGGGCTTGGCAAGTTTGGCGGAGTTCACAGCGCTCTCCCTGGGCTCTGATTCTGTGTTTTGCCACGGCCTTGGACAGGAAGGACCACCTTGGGGAGAGCATGTCAATGGCAGCCTGGCAGACTCTGCGTGTGCGCTCCTTGTTTATGAAGGTCACAAAGTCCCTGGCCCTGTTTAAGGTTGTGTTTGATGTTCAAGGGCGGTGTGGAAATTTCTGTTTTATGTGACCTAGTTTCTATGCTTTGATAAAGGCATTCCCTTTGTGTCATCCCCCCAACACCCCAGCTCTAAGATTTTGGAATCAGGGTCACAGTCAGTCTCTCTTCTCCAGGCCTTGGGCTTCTAGGTAGGGGGCTGAGTGTGTAGTGGCTCTCAGGGATTTGTTATTATTGTTGTTCTAAATTTCATTGGTGTCTGTGTGTTCACGCATGCGCAGGTGCACAGTGGCCACCCTTTATGTGGCGCCTCAGGAGCCATCCATCTTCCCTTCTGAGACAGGGGCCTCTCACTGAGACTAGGGCTCATAGATGAGGCTAGCTGGCCAGCACGCTGGGAGCCACCTGTCTCTGCCTCCTCTGCTCTGGGACTACAGGGCCCCTGTCACTGGCTTTTGAATGTGGGCTTTAGAGCTTGGACTTGATCCTTCGTGATTTCTGGGTGCTTTATCCACCCAGGTATCCCTCCAGTCCCACGCCATGGGGTCTTTCTAATCTTCTGTGTGCTCGCTGGAGCCTCCCCGGACAGCCTCGTTCTCAACCCAAACTCTTTTATTCTTCTTTGACTGTCACACTAACCACCGCGCATGGCCTTGGCGTAGGGACCCCTGTGCTTTCCTCTGAAGTGTTAGCCGGATGGGGTTTGGGAAACCCTGCCCTGGGCTGCCGGGGGGTTGAATTTCCCTGGAGAGTTTCTTTTCTTCCTATTTCTGACTCCCTCCATTTCACTATGGAGTGCAAATATTTGCAGGAATTTTGGTCTGTTTTCTAAGCTAGCCTGGTGTCCCAGGATGAATCTTTGTGTGTTTTTGGGAGGTGGGGCAGAGGGAGTCCACCCCCCTTTGTGGTCACTGACTCATAAAAGTTTTTTTTATAGTTGCCCGCTTCCCTCACAGAGTCACGGTGAATTCTGGGGGATTAGGAAATGATTTGTGGGGCTGGAGGAATGGCACAGCGGTTAAGAGCCTTTCTGTGAATGACGTCATATTTGTGGATCCTCAATGGGTGTGACCATCAAATTCCCGCCCCCCCCCATCTATGAACATCTGTGCTGTTTTCACCTTTTGGCTGTTGTGAATAACATGGCCTTGAACATGGGTTTACAAGTTTACAAAAGGGTCTCCTTTTTCAAAAAGCCAATCATCAGCATCTTTGCCGATGTTAGAGTTAGTGTCTATCCTTGCTGGAGGTGGAGGGTGGCTTGTCCCCAGAGCTGGATCCACAGTCATGTCTCAAGAGCCCATTGTGTGTCCTGCTCTGAGCTGGGGATTTGTTATTCTTCAGTCTGCCTGGGGACCTAAGAGAACAAGCAGGGAATGCCACCTGAGTCGGGCAGCAGGATCGGAGGCGTTAACAAGACTGACTTGGGGGTCTCTCAGCCAGCAGGGTCGGGACCACACATGGTGTCACACATGGTGCTGCCCCCTTACCTGCTGCTGTGGGTGCCAGGTGACCAACAGGTAAAGTGTTAACACTTTGAGGTGACAATATTTCAGGTAGAGCTTAGAATCATATTACTGTGTAAGTTCTGAGGGGGAAGGGTAGAGCGGTGAGTGGGACACCTGACGCTGGAGATCTCCTCAGACAGAATGTGTGATTACTAAGTGGTCAGTGCTTCCCACTCAGGGCTGAAAGAAGCTGCTGGCCTGGACCTGGACCTGTCTGTCTCTGTCCCCTCTGGGTCTTGGGACTGAAGTCTGGACTCTGAGGTTCAGTGATTTGGAAGCCACCATTTCCGGTTCTAAGGCTCCAGATGTGGCAGAGCTTTCCACAGATGTGGCAGAGCTTCCAGGAAGAAGCCACGCCTTGCATCTGTGCAAGCTGTCCCTCTCTTCCCCACCCTGTGGCTGTGACCAAGGGCCATCAGGGGTCTCTGGGGAGATGAAAGGTCCTGTGTGGTGTCATAGGACTGGGGTACACATTGTCTGAGCCCTACAACTATCCCCTACTCCCAGCCTACATGCAAAGAAGCTTATGCACAGCTTGCAGTCTCTGAACCCACTCATTGCCAGCATGGAAGCTCTCTCACTTCCCCAGAGTCTGTTGTTTTTCTTCCTGGCCTTGATCCTGATCCTGTTACCTTCTATAGAGATTTAAGCTCTTCGGAGGAAGCATGTCCCTCCAGGGGCCAGGAGAGATGGAGATGGTAATAGAGATTTAGTGACTTACTACCCGGAGTACACGTGTACACCTACAGAATTAGTGGAGCATGAGGGCCATGGGCTATGCCTTTCTGGGTTCAGGACATAATCCAAGCAGATTTTCCTGCAGGCCCGAGTACCAGCAAGTGAGGGCTGGTTGTCATGACTCTCTGCAACTTAATCCACATAGGAAGTGAGGTGAGAGGGGACATCCAGGCTGGCTGCATGTGGATGCCCTCTTGGAGGTTAACTGTTCCCAAGGCAGAGATCTGGAAGGGTTATACCCAGCAGGAAGGAGGCATATGTCTAGACTAAGACAGCTTCTGGTCTGAGACTCTAACCTGTTTAAAAATAGATGCAAGGACAGCACAAAATGTAAGAGTTCACTCCACCTCCATCAGACTTCCATCCCTAAGGATGTGGCACACTTTAAATTCTGCTCACCCATGTGTGCAAGTAGGCCTGTTCACACCTCGAGTCTACAACCCCAGACACAGCTCTGCCCGAGACAGAAGGCAGCTCCACCTATGCTCTCTGCCCTTGTTGGGGGTCGAAGCCTTGTCTGCCACAGCAGCTTTGGGTAGGTCTGGAAGTCACTAGAAGCAGCCAGAAGCTTCCATGTCTCAGTCACATATTCCAAAGGGGCTTGGAAAGAATTAAGAACTGCTCGATGCAAAGCCCAACGGCAGGTGTTCTGGTCTGGGAGCACTTCCCTCCGCTTCTCTGGACCACCCACCATGAAGGGGTGTGTGCATGTAAGAGGCGTGTTGGAAGCACGGGACTTTCCTCTTGGCTGTCTGTATAATGACTGGGTCTCTCTTTTCAACAGTGACTGACTTGCAAGAAGAAGGCAAGAGCGCCATCAATGCCCCGATGGCCCCGGCTTTGGTGGACATCCACCCTGAAGACACCCAGCTAGGTACTGTTGTCCTCCCTGTGTTGTCCGTCCCTGCTGTAGGATCCCACATGGATGGTTGGTGTTAGAGAACCCACATCTTATCCAGAGATGTCTCTAGGGAGATGCAGGCTTCTGCTCCCATCTTCAAGAGCAGATTTCATTGGCTTCCAGGTGTAGATGCCTGGCATTGGGAACATGGCTTGTTATGGTCGTGGATCTATGGGGTGGGGTGGCCAAGCAGGGCCAAGCAGGGCTGGGCAAGCAGTGGAGGAGAGAGAGGAGGAGTTGGCTTGTTTTTTGAGCAGAAGACTGTATGGTGTAGCTCCAGGCACAAGTTACTGACTTGAGTTAACTGATAACTGGCCTAGGGGATGAGAGAAGATGAGGCAGAGAGTGTTGGCTCAGGGTGTGGAACCCTACGAGTCCCTAGAGGAGGAAGCTAGGGGACAACCATCCCTGGACGACCATCTCCCTGGGATGAGTGGGCTCCAAGGCCTCAAAGCATGAAGAAATTCAGAAACTAGGTACACATTCCAGCACCCCACATATCTCCATGGCTGCCCTGAAGAGCTGTGCTGGGCCTGCAGCTGGCTGTGTGGGAACTGTGGATGGGGAGGCCCCTGACTCCTTGCAGGTCGATGACAGAGTGCCAGTCAAAGTGCCCTTTCTTAGCCTCGTGTTTTGGCAGCAAGTCACTGTGGCAGACAGGTATGGGACACTGCTTATCTCCAAACCTTGGTTTAGAGGGAGATCCCTGTCTATCCAGATATTCCATGATGAGGCCATCAGGGTCTCAGGGAGGAAGCAGGCGAGGCCCAGCCTATGGCCCAGAGGTGGCCTGGTACCTGAGAGCACTGGTCTGTGATGGTCCCTCCCGGCCAGAAGGGCATGCCTGTTACCACTACGGCAGCTGACTGTTGTAGCAGGTGTAGCATCCCGGCTATTCTCTGCCTGGGAAGCTGGACGTCCCCTCAGCTCCCTGCTGTGGTCAGTGGACCCATGGCACCCTGGCATTTGTGGGACCTGGTCTTTTCTGTTCAGGCCCCGTGTCTTCCTTCATTCCTTTCCCAACTTCCTGTCCCACTCCCCCTATGGACTCCACTGGCCTCTTGCTGTCTGTTAGATCCAGGCTAGAACATGGAGGGAAAACCCACAGGGGAGATGCCTAAAGCACCATCCTTTTGTGTGTTTTTGCTATTTGTATTGCTTCCCCGTAGATGCCGTTTTGTGTATTTGGTGCCTGCTCATCTGTTCCCATACGTTTTCCATGGCTCTTGCCCCACACAGCCTCTGGTAGACTGGTGAACAGGGATCCAGGAACCACTGGTGCTCAAAACTCTCCTAGCCATCTAGTTCTGGCAGGGCACTTCCCAGGCAGGTGTCACACACCCCCCCCCCCGTCTTTTCCCTCCCCATGCCAGCATGGTTTGAACTTGCTGCTAGAGCTGTTGGAGTCCAAGGCTTGGGAGATGGAGTCTGGCCTCATCTCACCCTGCTGCCCTGCATCCTTTATTTCTGATATTGGTGTGTAGCCAACAAGGCTGGCGACCTGTTCTCATTGAGAACATGATGGCTCTCTGCTTTTCCACCAGCTTCCTGCCCTGTGTGAGTAAGCAGGGAGTCCTCCACCCCCTGAGCAGGGAGTCCTCCACGCCTGGCATCCCAGTCAACCCTCCACCTCCTACCTCCCCCACTCACTCTGGCCCTTTCTGTCTTTGGCAGAGGAGAATGAGGAGCGGACCATGATTGATCCCACCTCCAGAGAGGACCCCAAGTTCAAGGAGCTGATCAAGGTGAGGTATAGTGTGATGTGACTCGACCAACCCTGTTGGCTGCAGGCCTTCTTCTGGGGCCTCAGAGCTTCTGTAGACACAAGGCTCCTGAAAAGCCGTTGAGGCGACATTAGAGACGGGCACAGAGGAGTGGAGTGTGGGCTGAGGAATGAGACGGAACATGGGTCCTCCAGGTGCTCTAGCAACCCTGGGCCTTTGTGGGGCTGTCATATGGTGCTCACATGATGAGCTGTGCGGAGTCTGTCTTGAAGGTACACCCTGCATACAGGTCCAATTGTTATAGCTTCTTAGGGGTCTAGATTCAAGATGTTTCGGGGAACAGGTTATTGTCTTCCCTTATCATGGCTTCATCTGAAGACGGGCCTTGGTGTCCTAGTTAGTTCTAAATGTCAACTTGACACAGCCTGGAGTCACCTGAAAAGGGAGTCTCCATTGAGGCCTTTCCTGGATCAGACTTGGCCTGTGGCATGTCCGTGAGAGATCCTTTGGATTGTTAAATGACATAAGTGGGCACAGCCCACTGTGGGCACCACCATTCCCTTGGCAGGCATCCTAGGTTATATAAGAAAGCTAGCTAAGCACGAGCCTGTGAGTGATCCAGCAAATAGTGTTCCTCCATGGTTTCTGCTTCAAGCTCCTGCGTGAATGTCTGCCCTGACTTCCCTCAGTGGTGGACTGACCTGGGAGTGTAAGCCAATAAGCCCTTCCCTCCCCTCAGCTGCTCTGGTCAGAATGTTTTAACATGGTTAGAATGTAACCAGAACACTCATGGGGCATGTGTGGTAGCGTGAATACCAGCCAGGTGGGAAAGCAGAAGGCATTGTTCTCAAAGGTTGCAGTAGCAGGTGGGTAGGGTCGTGGCCCAGTGGCTTCCAGGGACAACTTCCTGCCCTTCTCAAGCACATGCCTGGTCCTGTCCAGGGGCAGTTTGAGACTTGGATTGCTTGTCCTGCCTCGGAGGCCCAGACCTGGTTTGTGTGACCTAGGCTCTTTGAATGCTGTATGCGACAGTGTCCTGAAATAGATGGCTCTCTATTGGCCTTCCCACCTTCGCCACAGCAGGGAACCCAGTGAGTTTTCATAAGGGCAGATTCAGGGGAATCAGGGCTGCTGCTCTCCAGCTGTGCCTTCTAGAAATATGAACTGGAAATGTCTGGTATGGCCACCTGAAGAGGGTGAGTCTTTGTGTGTGTGTGTGTGTGTGTGTGTGTGTGGTGGGGGGTTCTAGACAGGGTTTCTCTGTGCAGCCTTGGCTGTCCTGGAACTCACTCTGTAGACCAGGCTGGCCTGAGTGTTGGGATTAAAGGTGTGTGCCACCCCTGCCTGGCTGAGGGTGATTCTTTTTCCTTTTTTTTTTTTTCTGTAGGGGAGGGGTTTGTCTAGTTTGCAGTTCTGGCTCACAGTCTGTCACTGGGCATGTTAAGGTGGCAAGGACTTGAAGCAGCTAGTCACATCCACAGTAACAGCAGAGAGAGTAAGTGCATACATGCTTACTTGCCTGCCTGTTGTGCTCAGTGGCTTTCTCCACTCTTATCCTATTTGAGACCCTGTAGGTATAGGGATTGGTGCTGCCCGCAGTGGGCTTGGTCCTCCTACATCAATTAGCTTAATTAAGACAGTCCCCCACAGACATGCCCATAGGCCAACCCAATGTAGATAGCTCCACTCAGTTGAGTCTAGATTGTGTCAAATTGACAGTTAAGGTTAACCATCTTGTTGGGCAGTAGCAGTGCACACTTTTAATTCCAGCACTCGGGAGGCAGAGGTAGGTGGATCTGAGTTTGAAGCCAGTCTGGACTACATATCGAGTTCCAGGACAGCCAGGGCTACATGGAGAAACCCTGTCTGGAAAAACAAAACAAAACAAACCCTAACACAAACAAAAGATTGATGATCACTTCTGGGCTAAGTGGCTTAGGCTGCAGATGGAGGTGTCAAGGAAGGGGAAGCCAGGCTCCAGCTACTGGATTGGAGGAAGGACAAAAGTTGTGTGCCGAGGTCTGTGCGAGCCTCTAGAAGCTGGAGAAGCCAGGAAGCAGGGTCCTCAGAGCCTCCAGACCGGCCAGCTCTCCTCTCCTGACATTTGACCTCTGCTCAGTAATACCAGTTGTGGGTTTCTTGCCTCCAGCATGTGAGAGGATTCATGGAAAGCCACCGGAGTTGTGGAAATCCCTAGAGCAGCCACAGGAAGCAACTCTCCTCCACTGTAGCCAACCATCCATCGGGGCCAGGAGGGGTGGCTCTACACCTGCAGCAGTGGCTGTGTCCTTGAAATGCCCTGTTCCCACAACCATCTCATTGGCCTGCAGCTGTCCATACCGAGACTAGATTTGAGGCACCCCAGCCTGAGAGTATGTCTCACAGCAGGCTGGTCTTGAACTAGAACCTTCAAAAACTAGTGTAAGCGCCAGAGACTGGGGAGAAGCCCTGGGGCCTTAGGGGGCTCATCAGCTATTGTTTTGTACAAAGTGCCAGACTTGGCAAGGGATGGTTCTGAGACAGACAAGTATGGGAGGTCGGCACACTGGCTCCTGTGGACCAGCCCTGTCGGTCAGATGTAGGGGCTGTGAGGGAAGCCGTGGTTTGGTTGGAGGACTGTGGATGTTTCCTTTTCCTGTCCTGGGAGCTGGCCTGAATATCCTGCTTGTGTTATGAGTGTGGGATGACCAGCCTCCAAGCTGCTGCTAGGACTGGACTTAGTGCCTGGCTCGTCCCCAGAACACTGCAGAGCGAGGTACCTTGGGTCTGCTCTGTTAATTCTATGCCTCCTCCCTCCATCCTTCTGTTGCACATACTCTGTGGCTTTGTTGCTGCTATGCTGAGCAGGAACGATCCTCTGGGTGCATGTTTAGAGGAGACAGCTTCCTCCAGGACACGCTGGCAAGCTCAGGGGTCTCTGCATACCTTCGGCTTGATAATACATCAGAAGGACACCAGAACCCACTAGAACAGCAGCTAACAACCTGTGGGTCGTGACCCCTTTGGGGGTTGAACAACATTTTTACAGGGGGTGCATATCAGATATCATGTTTACATTATGATTTATAACAGTAGCAAAATTACAGTTATGAAGTAGCAACAAAATAATTTTATGGTGGAGGGTCACCAAACATGAAGAACTGTATTAAAGGATCACAGCATTGGGAAGGTTGAGAACCAGTACACTGGAAGCTGTTGTCCTCAAGGTCACAGTTGGTGACAGGCACACTTAGCTGGGGCACACACACTTGGGATCAGGATCAAGGGAATGGGCTGTGGGAGAAGGGGCAGGAGCTGGGAGCTTGTGATTGCACCTCTATGCAGATGGTTCTAGAACCTCAGTGCTCAAGGACACTGTGTGAGTCTCAGGGTTTCAGAATGCCGTTGGTGCTGCAGCCCAGTGACCCAGCCTCTAGTGGTCCCCTGTGGGGGTGCTGTCCAGAAACAGGCTTTGTGTATTTTTCGCCTAGAACTGGGGAGGGCACCCAGGACCTCACTCCACTGCTGGACCATACTCCTGCCTCCCTGGTGCAGCTTGGACTGGCTGACATCCTGTCCTGCTGGACATGGTCATCGTGGCCCTCTGTCCTTCACAGCCTCTCCCAGTCTTTGGGACCAGGGCCGAGTTCCTGAGGGTGCCTGGCTGACCTTGTTTCTTCTCTGCTCTCTGTCCTCTATGTTTTCCCTCTGTTGTCTTGATGGCCCTCTCTGTCCCCTACCACTCTGGGATTGTCATCTTTGCAATGTTGTGAGTTGCCCTTTGCCTTTAGTCTGAAGTCCCTGGCTCTGGTTGGGCAGACATTGGATGAGGTTGATCATTAAAAACTATTTTGAGCATCTGTCGTGCTTATTGGGCCATTTAGGGGTAAAGGTTCAATCCCAGCTCATGAAAGTGGAATGCCTCGACCCAGTGCCATTCATTATTTGATGATGGGCACAGAGAGGGACCAGGCCTGGTGCACTGACTGGCTGGGCATCACCTTAGAAATGGATGTGTATTTTGTGGGCCCAGGACCCTCAAAGACTCAGCCTGTCGTCCTCTACTGGCGTTTCTTCCTGTTGCCATTTCCTCTGGTGTCTGCTGGAATCAACTCCAATTCCCCGATTCCCTGTGGGTGGCCAGTGTGTTGAGATACTTTGTGTCATTAACCATCTGTTAGAAAGTGTCCTGTGCTTTTCTTATAGGGAGAGGCCTTGGTGCTCAGTGTCCCATTTGGTCCTTGTCCCCAGGGCCTGACACAGAGTTCTGAAACCCTCAGAGTTGCCTGAGTGTGAGATCTCCCTTGCAGCACACACTCTTGGTCACACGTGGGTCCTTGCTAATGAGGACATTTGATGGACCCCCCCCCAGTTTGTTTCCAATGAAGGATGATCCTAAGGGGACCCAAATGTGATATCTGGGAAGGAGGGGGCCTGGAGGGTGGTTCTTTTTACTGATGGCCAATGACTGAGCTCCTAACCTGGGGTGCCGACTCTGGGCTGTGAGAATCACAAGCACATTGACTGTAGAGACACCTGAAGTTAGAGAGTTGGTGTTAGAATGATGCATTTTGGAGATGGGAAGAAAAACCCAACAAACCCACACAGCCTTCCTAAGCATGCTGGCCAGAGCAGGTAGGCGCTTCATGCTGGGATGCATCTTCCTCCAGAACAGACTTCCCTTCTCATTGTTCAGTTGCTGCATAGGGATCACCCTGTTCTGAAGCTGGGTTTCTTCCTTTTGTGCCTGGGTTGTGTAGAGGTGCTCTGCCATGATCAGCCCCCACTGACTCCCGCCCAACTCAGTAAGGTGCGTCTCCATCCCCGGGGGACAACAGTCAGGACTCTGTTTGGAAATGATTAAAATGTAACTGTCATGACTCTGGGGGAGACAGACTGCAGACCTGATTATAATTCAGAAGGAACTAAGGGGAAAGTAATTTTTTATTCTGGTTAGAGCGAGCTCATAGAGCTAGCCGTGATCGAGTGCCGTGTAAGGATGTAATTAATATGTGTCCTCCTTATTCACCCGCAGGACTTGGGGCTCGCAGATGAGTCCCAAAAATAATGGCTGATGCTATCTTTAAAAGCTCTTTTGTAAAAGGGAAGATAAGAAGGATGACCGGGAGCAGAATGATGGGGTGATGGGTGATGTCCTCAAGTCAACTGCACCTCCTGGGGGGTGGCGGTGACTCTGGGGAGGATTTTTGCTTCCTGAACCCAAGAGCCTGGCCCATTTTTGAGATTCTGTCCTTTTGTTCCTGCCTTTGGGCTCTGAGTAGGCCGGAGATCTAAATGTGGGGTTTTGTTTGTTTTGTTTTTCTTCTTTAAGTTTTTGATTCTCACAGAAGAAGCATTCTCTCCGGACTTCCTAGCAGGATTGTGTTTGAGGAAGGAAGCCTCTAGAGGCAAAGGCTTTAGGGCCAAGAGTCCTTTCTAGATGTGAATTCCCCAAGGGCAGTACTCTGGTTTGTGTGAGACCTTGAATCTGCTCCTGTCTTAGCCACTGGGGATAAGTTCTGAGCAGAGCAGCTCACTCGCCAAGCTCACAGCATATCTGAGAAACCATGATGAGGGCCAAGCGAACATGCGATCAGGTGTGGGGATACCTGTAAGCCTCACCCCACTTCTGCTGCTTCCTGCAGGGCGGCCAGGGAGGTGGCATTTAAGCATGCCTCTGCATCAGTACCTAGAAGGTCATGACCAACTGCCCAACAGCACATGCAAAGACCCTGTGGTATGCAGGTGCTTGGCTTGTTCTAACAACCATTGAGACGAGCAGGGTGACAAGAGCCTAGTGAGCATGCAGGGGAGTGACCTGAGACACCGTGATAGAGGTGTGGGGATGGTGGCCGGTTATAGATGCACAGATTAGGATACACGGGACTTGGTTACATATAGGTTAATTTTATTTGGGGAGAAGTCACTTACGTAAGAGACTGATGACCCACACACGTTCCAACTCCAAGGATCCACACCCAGGCTGCTCTCCGTGACTGGAACCAAGAGAGCGAGCTGTGGTCTGGGACCCCAAATCTAGCCTCCCCCCTTCTCACATCCTCACCTGTGACCACACCTAAATGGGCGTGGGGTCAGCGCAACAGGTGTGGGCAGGGTGGCTATCTCACTACAGCCGATAGCTAACGTTCCTATGTTGGCTCTCAAGGTGGAGGGGCCAACTCTTCCTAAGAGCCCTGCAGGCCGGTGTGGGCTGGCACTGTGTCCACGCTGCGAAGTTTCCATGCCTGCACCATTCCCAGCATAACACCCGTGACAGGTAACTGCCCTTGTAAGCAGGGACCGCACTTCATCTGTCTTCATTGTCACAGCCCAGGGCGGCACCTGCTGTGGACACTCGCGCGTGTTCTTATCCTCAGGTGACACCCCATAAATGAAGGCTCAGCCCCCGTGGCTTTTGCAGCTGGAGGTGGGCCAGCAGGGCAAACACAAGCTTCTCTTCCCTTTTTGATGACGGGCAGAGAACTCTCACCCTCGCCGGTTGTCTTGGGGTTTCTGTTGCTATGATGAGTACTCTAACCTGGGAAGGAAAGACACTTAAAGCTTGTGGTCAGTGTCCAGGGGAGCCAGGGAAGGGGCTCACGGCGGGAACCTGGAGGCAGGAAGTGGCCATGGGAGGATGCTGCTCGGTGGCTTACTCAGCCTGCTTTCCTTTTACACCTGGGACCACCTGCCCTGGGGTAGCACAGTCCAAAATTGGTCCCTTCCACATCAATCACTAACCAAGAAAATGTGCCACAGGCTTGCCTACAGGCCAGTCTAGTGGAGGCATTTCCTCAGTCGAGATCCCTCTTCCCAGGGGACTCTGGCAGTGTCCAATTGACACAGGTCCAGCCAGTATAGCAGTTGAGGCGACCTCAGCACACTGTCATATTTTTATTCCTTATGAAGTTGAAATTGTGCTGTTGTTTTTACCCCTCAGAGGAAATACTTGCAGTAGTTTACAGCACCCAGTGTGAGAACAAACCTTAGACCCTCAGGCAGGGGACAAGTGGGCATCCAGGATATGCCCCTTGCAACCTGTTTCCTCCAGTCAGGACCAGCCTCATAGTTTTCTTTGCCCAGAGAGGACAGCCCAGTGGCCAGAGAACACAGGCCAGGCTGGGACCTGATCAACCAGAGAGCTGGAGAGGGCGCACATTATCCCTCCTGCCCCTGGGAAGGCGCTTTGACGTATCTGTAGAGCAGCAGAGCTGTGTGGTTCTTCACCCTAGTCGAGTGCGACTCAAAAGCTCTGAGATCCCTATGAATAGTAATCTGATTCAGTCTCCTGTGGCCACTTGGAAGCTGGTCAGGACTTGAGGGAACTTGGCTTTGTCACCAGTTTCTCAGCCTCTGCTTTTTCAGAGAGTGACAAGACATTGTGCATTTGGGTCTGTGCACTTTGATCTTCCTGAGAGTGGCCACAGACCTCTGCCTCCCAGGGGCTCTGGGGTCCAATTAGACAGCTTAATTCACTTTGCTGGCATGGGAAAGCCATAGTCTGAGTGCCATGGCTACAGCCTAGGTGGGTATCTACTTTATTCTGGGAAGCCCTCTGCCCCAGAGACAAGTATCAGTGCAGGTGGCTTGTTTCCACAGTGTGCTCTCCCAATGTGTTGAGTGGGAAAACCTGTTAGGAAGGTAGGTCTGGAAAAATAGGAAAGAAAAACTTAACCATGAGTGTTCCCAGCAGTGCGATGGGCAGGAAGTGACACTGCCCAATAAGATGTACATGCATTTGTGTCATGCGGTGGTACGGTGTTCGTTCAGCCGGAAGTGGGGGAGAGGTAGGAGCTATGATAGGGATGGGCTTCAAACACCATGCTAAGAGAGAAGCCAGGCGTGAGGGAGGAGTCTGCGTACTGTGGAATCCCATTGATGGGTCTCAGGAACCGGAGATGGAGAGGGACAGAGCTGCCGGAGAAGGCCTGGTTTCTGTTCAGGGACAGGGCAGCATTCTAAAGTGGATGGGGGTGACCACTACACAGCTTCGCGATCCCTGGGGGATGCACAGGTGGGTTCTCCGTTGGCTGAACAGTCCACGGAGTGCAGTGGTAGCGGGGCCAGGCTGGAACCTCTTGCATTAGCCCGGGGCTCTGGAGGCGAGGAGAGGGGTTGATGCTTCATGACCCCCTCTCTTCTCAGCATTTCCTCATTTGGCGCCAAGTGCCCTAGTGGAGCCATGAGCCCTTCTTCTGGAAGACACGTGTCACCCATGGTCCCTGCCGGGCTCTGTTGGGGACTGTTAGAAAGTCCCAGCTCCAGTCACAGGTCTGGTTCTCCACTCCTACTCTGGTCATGGACCGAGAGGCACCTGTTGTCCCCCACGGTCACCAGGCCGGTGTCTGGTAGCCCTTGTGTTTGCGCGGCTGTCCACGTGAGCCTGCTCTGACCCTGCTTTCTCTGGCAACTTTAAACTCGCCTCTCGCCTCCCCCAGGTCCTCCTGGACTGGATCAACGACGTGCTGGCGGAGGAGCGCATCATCGTTAAGCAGCTGGAAGGAGACCTCTACGATGGCCAGGTGCTTCAGAAGCTGCTGGGTGAGCGCCGGGACCCCACCCTGTGGCACATTCCTCCTTGCCCTGGGAGCAGACCCAGAGCTCGGTTTACACCTCCTGGTGGCGCTAACTATGGTTTCTTTGCTGTTTGTTTTCATGGTTTCTCCACTGGACAATGCGTGCCCAGCCATGGTTTTATTGGGTGCTCATGCCATGGACCAAGGAAACAGGGTTCAGAGAGCAGCCATGCCCCTCATCTCATATCTCTGGCTACCCTTGTTCCATCCAGCTATGAGAATTTTTAGGATGGGGCGAGACAGAGGGTGGGTCTCCAACAAACCCCATGTGAGGGAATGTGTCATTGTCCTGACCCACGCTTCCAGGCTTCACTGGCCCCAAGTTCTGGTTGAGGATGATTGAGTGTGTTCTCGAGATAGACTAACAGAAGGAAAGATGGACAGGTGGGCCGCCGCACCATCAAATGTTCCTGACCCTTGCTGAATGCTGGGCTCTAGGTCAGTGACTCCTGAGGCTGACATCTCTCTTCCCTGCTCTTCAGGAGCGTGGGGTCTGTCTGGATTCTCTGTTGGCTGAACAGTCCAACGGATGCTGTGGAGTCTAGAGGTCTAAGGGCCGTGCAGGTGTCACATCCTATGGCCAGAGCAGGTGGCCTTGCCAAGCACTGGGGTCTAAACTCCTGTGGGAAAATGAGGGAAGGTGGCCAGGAGACTAGAGAAGGGTGAAGTCAGGGGTGAGGATATAACACCCACCATGAGATTCACGATGCCTCAGCCTGGTGTGGGGATTCATGCCCTCATTCTAGCACTTGGGAGGCTGAGGCAGGAGGATTGCTAGTTTAAGGCTAGTCTGGCCTATATAACAAAAGCCTGTCTCAAAAAGAAAAAAAAATCATGAATGACACAGCCTTGGGACCAGCTCTGTGGCCGGGCAGAACCTCTTGTGGAGCAAGGAGGGAGGCAGGATCTGGGGCAAGGCTGGGAAGATAGACAGGACCAGCCCTGGTAGACAAAGGCTTTCCTCACACGCCGCAAGAGCCTCTGGGAGTTTTGAATGAGGCCATGCCATGTTCTGAGCTGGATTTTTGCAAAGGTTACTCAGGCTTCTAGGTGCAGAGCAGATGGGGAGGAGGGTCTGAAGTTGGAGCTGGGTGTGGCTCAGGGTGCTCTTTGTGGAGCCCCCGGGCTTCTGAAATGGCTCTGGCCAGGGTTTAGAAAGCAGATGTGGATGGATGTTTTGGAGTGTAAAGCTGTCACAGGAATGGAGGCTGGGGGCCAGAGGTATGGACTCAGCAGCTCACTGAAGAGCTGGGGGCCTCATGAGTGAGGATTTGGGGTGTCTACCTGTCTGGAGCCTCATGCTGGGGCCAGAATTAGGAGCTCCGGCTACATAGTTAGATGGACTGCAGCTGCTCAACCATTCCCTGGAGAGGGATTGCAAACTCCTCACTGGGCCAAATACCAAATGGAAATTTGGTTAAGAATACCTGTCTTAGAATGAAGTTCTGTGGAGAGTTGCTGAGATCCTTGGGTAAGGGTGTGTGTCATTAGGCTGATGGCCTTTGGAAGGAGAGAAGTGACTCCCAAAGCTGTCCTTTGACTTCCACACTCATGCTGTGGCCTGCATGCCTATAGATACAGACTCCCCGACAATTAATTAATTAATTAATTATTTTGTTTAGAGAATATGGCTGGATTGTGAGGATGACTTCATAAATGCCTGGGTTTAATGGTGAGAATGTCAGCACTCCAGCTGGGCTCTGCAGCGTCTTCCCTCAGGCACTTGTTTTCTGGAAAGAGTGGCACACTCATGTTCAGCTCTGTCCGATGCTAACTGCTTGCCGTGTCTTCATACTTGGCATCAAAGATGGCAGACAGTCAGCTGAGCCCAAGGGAGCATACTGAGCTTTGAATGACTTGTCACAATGTCTCAGTAGATGGGGAGGCTACCCTGGCTGGCCAGCCCCGCCTCCTCTCCAGGGGTTTGAGTGTGGTACCAACTCAGCTTCTTTCTGGTTCTTGATGATTGGGCTGGTAGGCGTAATGCCCTTCCTTCCTTTCTTCTTCTTTCTTGTTTGGTTTTTCAAGGCAGAGTTTCTCTGTGTAACAGCTCTGGCTGTCCTGGAACTCACTTTGTAGACCAGGCTGGCCTTGAACTCACAGGAATCCTCCTGCCTCTCTGCTTTCTGGGTGCTGGCATTACAGCCGTTTGCCACCGCTGCCCAGATTCCAGCCTTATTTCTTGAGATGTGGTCTCTCACTGATTTGGGAGTTCACCAATTTGGCAAGATTAACTGGCCAATGAACTCTAGGGATTCTCCTGACTCTGCCTCCCCACCCACCCCCATCTGTGCTGGGATTATAGGTGCGTACTGCCACCCAGATTTTTCTCTTGGAGTTGAGTTCAGATATTTATGAGCCAACTGACTTGGTTGCTGGAATCTGAACTTGGTCCTCATGACTGAACAGCAAGCACTACTCTTAACCTCTGACCCCCAACACTCACCTATGGCAATGCCTTTTCACGAAGCAACCAGCCCTTCAAGTTGGTACTGAATCTTGGTATCATGGGACAGACTCTGGCTTTGCATCTGTACTGGCCATGGTTGACCGTCAACAACACGGATGCCTGGCCTGGACCATCTTTGAGAGCGGGTGTTGTTGACCTCTTAGGCACATCTTTCTGTTCCCTCTTTAGTTTGCCTGGCAGATGCGGCAGTGACCTGGTGCCACGGTGGCTGTTAATCCCACCCTATTGCTTCTCCAGACTGTGAAATGTGAGGCTTGAGGCCAGCCCAAGCTCTGCTGTCTTTATATTGTGGAGTGGTTGTTATACCCTTTCATTTGAATATCTCCAGTCAGTACTCGAAAAAGCAGCTTGCAAGCCTCTTATGTCAAGTGGTTTGGACAGAGAAAAGGACAATGGGAAGAGTATTCAAGGCTGAAGAGGATGTCACTCAGCACATCTTTGCTGGTTATGTGGGCAGTGCTGTTTCTGATAAGATGCAATGATAACTCGCATGGCCCCTGAGACCAGGGATCCCAGGAGTGACCTTGATGTAGGTGCTGGGCTCCTGGGCTTTCCAAAGGCAGCACTAAGATCAAATAAGAGGTGCTGGCTGAACAATAAGATTTCAGCGGTGGAGCCAGGACTGGTCAAGAAGTGGGGGTGCATGCAAAGAAGTCTGGTGAGAGCAGCATGCGGGAAGGGACCCCAAGGTGTGTCACATGGGCGTAGGTCGTATTCTTTCAATTTCATTTGAATTATTTTTTGCATGGGTGTGTACCTGAGAAGGTGGACATGCGTGTGCCATGGTGCATGTGTGGAGGCCAGAGGACAATTTCAGGCGTCATTCCTCCTTTCTCCGTGTGTGAGACAGGGTCCCTTGCTTACCTCAGCTTGCTCCAGGCTGGGTGGCTCACAAGCTTCTGGGGCTTCTCTTGTCTGCACCTTCATTCTTGCTCCTAAAGGAATGCTGGGACACAGGCGAGCACATGAACACACCTTGCTTTTCGTGTTCCGGAGATGGAACTTAGGATCCTATGCTTCATGAAGCAAGTGTGCCACCAGCTGAGTCGCGTCCTCAGTCTGAGGAGGAGTTTTGAGTGGATGAAGAGTGTAAATGATGACAATGGCATGGGCCTTTGGGCTTGGCTGTGTGGCATTCATCAAGGGTGAGCCACCAGGACACCCAGGGGAGCCCCTCTTCTTGAGAGGGCATGCTGGAAATAACAGGGATTGCTGTGGCAGGCCAGGTTTCGTCTTGGCTGGGTTTGTCGTGCTCACCTCTAGTTGGTGGGCAGGTGGAATGCCCATGCAGGATGCTGAGGGTCTCCTGGGCCAGCTGGTACTCTCTGGGACATCTTTAGTTCTTCCTCATGTTGTTCAGCTGCGTGCTGCTCTCCAGGGTCATTCAGGCTTTCCCTGTCTCTTCCACGTTGGTAAAAGGAGGCCGTGGCACATCTGCCACCCGAGCAGTCGGCAGATCAGTCCCTGGTGGATGTACAGAGAAGTCTCCTTTCCGTGCTTAGTGGAGTCCCTGCATCATGGAGACCTAGGACAAGACGATGTGATGTGGGATCTGCCTCCTTGGGCTGAGTCATAGCCCCTAACCTCACATTCGCATAGTGACATCAGTGCTGGGTAGTTTTCGTGTCACCTTGACACTAGCTGGAATCATCTGAGAGGAGGGAACCTCAACTAAGAACACACCTGTGTGTGCCCATGCATCTCCAGCACCTGTGTCCAGTAGCAGTTTGCTAAATGAACGTGTGATTGAAGGGCTGTATCGTGTGGAGTGGATACGTGAGCCATCTCATCCCGCAGACTGCAGAAGAACTGACCATTTTAACGGCCCGAGCTGGAAGTCCGGGGCAAGAACACTGAAGTCCTGGGTCCAGCTAAAATGTGCGCAGCAGAACTTTGTGGGACCTTAGTGGGGTTCCTGATCTCAGTGACAATGTGGTTGATGGCAGCCCTGCATCCCGGGCTAAGGACATGGTAATCACATTCTAGGAAATTGCCTCCAGTCACCCTGGGTCTGGACCTTTGCTAGTTGGCAGAGGAGCCCTGTCAGGAAATATCACATCTTGGAATTAAAGACTGGGGGGGGGGCAGGGCTCCCTGCCTTCAGCTGGAGCCCCAGAGCGCTGGCTGCTGTATCTGTGGCTACCTGCTCTCACCTGCTGCCTCCCCCATCCCTAAAGGAAATTGAAGGCGGCTGGGTCTCCGTCTAGGTAATTGAATCCTGAGCAAATGTGACAGTTCTCGCCCAGACTCCTCCAGAGTGCTTCCTGCCTGCTCTTCGAAATGGCGGAGTCACAGACTTGGCAAATCTCCAGTCAAGGTCCTTGCGGTGTGAAAATGTGAGAGATGGGAGAAGGAGCCCAGGAATGCAGGGAAGCATTGTTAAAACTTTCTTCTTGTGTTTATCAAAATTCCCTACTGGGACACCTCCCCCTCCCACACTCTGCAGCCACCCCCTGTAGCTGACCCAGGGACTTCCTTCCTCACCCCCCTCCTGTACCTTTTGCTTCTATTTTTAAATTTTTATTATTACTATCATTCGTGTAGGATGTGTGTGTGGGGTAATGTGTGTGCACCTAAAGGTCAGATAAAAAGACAACTTTCTTCTTTTTTGAGACAAAGAGTTCACTGTGTAACCCTGACAGGCTTGGAGTTTGCCATGTTGTTCAGGCTGACCTTGAACTCACAGGAATCCACCTGCCTCCGCCTCCTGAGTGTTAGGGTTAAAGGCATAAGTCACCGTATCCAGCTAGCTTTTGCTTTTAATATAAGTGTTTAAGGCTTTTTCTTCAGGGTTTTATACATGAGTACTGTATCTGTATCATTGCCATCTTTCCAAGTCTCCCTCTCTAGTTCATGACCTCTTTTTTAATTATTAATTGTATGTGAGTGTGTATTTATAACTTAACGAGTGCATTCAGTGCTGTTCATATGTGTGTGCCTTTAGGGCTGACCGCTTGGTATTGAATAATCAATCAGGGACTCATTATCCCTGGAGAAGACAGGTTTTCCTCCTCTCAGCAGCCATCAATTGCCTGTGGTTCTTCATCTAGGGGTGCGGCTTTGTGGGATTTCTCCTATCCACATTGGCATGTCAACTGGTATTGTCATTGTCGGGCCATGTGGTCGAGGCTTCACGGGTGCAGCTTCCCAAGCACACTCAGAAGGTCCTAGCTGACAGCAGACCAGAGATCAGCTTCTGAGCAGCTCTGTCCTTCCCCTGTGGCTTCCGGTGCTTGACCGCCACCACAAGCACACCTGGCCCCCAGCTGCATCCATCATTCATCATGAAGGGGGCTCTTTCCCATTCCATGTAATAAGCTGCTCCCGGGTGCCTGATTCACCCTTAACTGCCCCTTCACTTACTGTAGTGCCGTCTCCTCGCAGTAGAAATGACTTCCCGAGCCCAGGGCTTCCTGACTCAGCACCGCACCACTGGCTAAGACGCCGGACCCCCTAGTGCCCCTGCTCCAGCCGGGATACAGATAGCTCCACCTCCTCCTGCTCAGACATTCTGCCTCGTGACCTTGTCCTTGTCTCTGCAGAAAAGCTGGGACACTGCAAACTGAATGTGGCTGAGGTGACACAGTCTGAGATTGGGCAAAAGCAGAAGTTGCAGACGGTCCTCGAAGCTGTGCAAGACCTGCTTCGGCCTCACGGCTGGCCACTGCGCTGGAATGTGGACTGTGAGTTGGAGAATTGGAAGGGAGTGTCCTTTTGTCTTTCCATGTTCTCATCCATCATCCCATTACGGCCTTGTGGTTAAAAAAACAGTGTACCCTCTTGACCTGTTCTGCCAGAGGCTGGGTGGCAGAGGTCTGGGGAAGCTAGGGTAGAGAGCACACAGCTAAGGGCACAATCAATCACACACCAGTGCTCTGCCTTCCCATCTCCTTACACCACACACACACACACACACACACACACACACACACACACACACAAACACACTCCCCTCTGAGCCTCAGCGCTAAGGTTCTTATCTGTTCGTTTATTTTGTGTGGGTCTGAGTGCACGTATATGGAGGCTGGAGGTCAGCCTCAGGCAGCATTCCCCCGGAAGGAACCACGCACCTTGTTTGTTTTGAGGTAGGGTCTCTCACTGAGACCTGCACCTCACCAGTGAGGCAGGGCTGGCTGCCCAGTGAGCTCAGGCTCACTCTGTCCTCAACCGCTCTGTGCTGGGATTACTAGCTACCACAGTTGGCTGTTTTTAAACTTCAATTCGAGTCTTCATGCTTGTGTGGCAAACATTTTATGGACTGAGATGTCTCCTCAGACCTTGTATTGTTTTTAAGAGTCTCATGTAGCCCAGGCTAGTCTTGGACTCAAGGCTGGCCTTTAATTCCCGATTCTCCTATCTCCACCTTCTGAATTCTGGGATTATATGCCTGGTCCAAGGAGTTTTTGTTGGGACTTGACATCAAGCACCCAGTGTAGGGGCCCAAAGTGAACCCGTATGGGGGCGGCCTGCTGAGGCCAGTGCCAAGGAGCCCATGCTAGCTCAGGAGTGTTACTTGTCAGCTGGCTTGAGGGGTTTGTGGCATCATAGTTCATAGCCCAGAGGGGGCAGAAGGGGATGAGCTGACTGAAAAAGCTGATGACTTCTGTTTATGTCCCCACCCCCTCTGGCTCCTTGCAAGGCAGGTGTGATGGGGTCTAGTGCCAGAGCTTACCCTTCACAGCCAGGGCTCTGTGACCTGCATAGAGAGCCTAGATCTTGACTGTGGAGATGGGGCTGGCTCTGCCCCTGGTTTCTTAGCATGACTTTGGGGAGGCCCACCCTTCTAACCCAGGCGCTGGGGCTTTGGGTAGGAGGTGCTTTACCAGCTGCAAATCCTGGCCTGAAACATTCTATTCAGTGAGAGTCAGGGCAGGCATCCAGGTCAGACTGGGACCTAGAGCAGCCCCTACTAACCTTGCCACTCACCTCCATAGGGACAGGTGATTGTATAGCAGCAGAAGTTTGCCCAATGCCAATGATAATGACATGCGTTATTGTGGTGGGCATGTGGCTATGATCTGTCCCTACCCTCCCCCCCCAGCAACCTGCAATTCTTTGTTTTAAAAAGCGAGATGCCTTTTAAAGTGGCTGTCAGGACAGTCACAGTGGCACACACCTTTAACCTTAGCATTCAGGAAGCTGTGGCAGGTGGACCGTTGTGTGTTTGAGGCCGGCTGTTCTAGGGCAGCCAGGATTATATAGTGAGACCCTGACCAGGGGGTTAAAAAAAAGGAACATGGCTGTCAAGTTGCCCCTGGCCAACAAGAAAGAATAGAGAGAAGCCAGGCATAAGCAGGCAGAAGTCCCTGGCGCCTTACCAGCCCTCTCTATCTGAGGTTCTTTTGTCCCCGGAGGTCTCCTTGAGGCATACCCTTGAGATGGTCCCCTGCTCTCTACCCATCTAACTTGAGGCCTCTCTTTCTTCCCTGTCTATCCAAAGCTATCCATGGGAAGAACCTGGTGGCCATTCTCCACCTCCTCGTCTCCCTGGCTATGCACTTCAGGGCCCCCATCCACCTTCCCGAGCATGTCACCGTGCAGGTGGTGGTTGTCCGGGTGAGTACACTGGGCTGCCTCTTTGCCTGACTCTCTGTTGGCGAGGCAAGCTGACTTTTTCTTCTTGTAGTTTTCCAGCCACCCCCCCCCACCATCCCAAGAGGCTACCTTGTATTTTTCCCTCTTGATAAAATGCATATCTCACCCTGGCTCTTTGAGAAATGATTGGAGCAGGAACAATGGCATTGATTTGAAGAGTGGCACACGGGTGTTGAGGTTTAATTTCCCAGATTTCTGAAAAGAAGGTTCATTTCTCTCCAAAGCCACCGAGTCGGAATTCAATCCCCTTGAATGTGCGTATTACTCACTGGGGGAGGCTGCGACCGGCAGAATGAAATAGACACCCAAATTAAAGGCTCTCCACATTTGCTCCATATTATAAGCCATCATTCCCCATTATGTCTTTTTTTAGGTTCATTTCTCTTGATTTACTCAGAGAACAGAGCCAGGGCCCAGGGCCCTGGTAATGGGGCCAGGCGTGGATTTGCTGTGTGTACTCTCCTGTGCCTTAGCATTCACGCATGCAGATGCTGGCCCGACTTGGTTCCTGTGCACGATTTCACCATGTATTACATTTAAACATGTATTAAGCGCATATCAGTGCTAGGCATTGACCTGAACTTGTGGGGACCCTGAGTGAGGAAAACCCATTTGGCCTGGGAAGCCATCATGTCTGCCAAAGGGCTGAGGTCACAGTTGGGACCTGTATGACACTGTTGTTTATGTTACTGGAGACACTCAGCTTCGCTCTGTTCTCTGAATTTTTAACTTATCTGTTCTGTGGTCTGTGGTCCATAATGGCCTGGCTGAGCCTGTGTTTCTGAAGCCATTCTGACCTCTCTTCTACCCTGGGAGCTTAGCTGTACCCTGCCGGGAAGGCCCTTTCTGACATTAAGTGAAGGTCACCTGCCATTTCTCCCTACTTCCTTCCCAATCAGGATATTTGTGGTCAGTGAGAGTGACACAGACCCAGGGGGACCATTCCTGTGGCCCTAGTCTTGGCTGCTGGCTCATAGGCAGCGGGCCGGGAAAGGCTTCCCAAGGACACATGGGAAAACAGTTCCTAGACCTACCTACGTCAGCCCCAGGCCCCAAGAGTGCTGAGCAGGCTCACCGTCAGGGTATTGCCTTTCAGTCTGACACATTGGTCCAAGACAAGCTTGGGTTTTTGGAAAGTCTGACTGCCCCCAGAAAGCCCTGTCCAGCATGCTGTGCCTTGACCAGGGTTCCTGGGTTGTCTGTGCAGAGCCCAAAGTAGAAGAGACCAGGTCAGGAGGTCCAACTGGGTGGCGGCTTCTCAGAAGTAGCCCCTCAGGCCCTGCTCAGAGTTCTTTCTGCCTCACCTGAGGTCCTATGGGCTGTCCATATGCTTGCTCAGGTGACCCATGATCTAAGCGAGGCATATGGCATTTCCTGTCTGGAAGGCACAAAGGCCAAGCCTTGCTTACCCCCAGCAGTGGAAGCTTGGGGCAGGCCTCTTGATTTCTCAGGGCTGCCGTGATTTCCCTACAAACTCGGGGTGATGTTGGTAACCATTCGAGTATCCAGCTCTGAGTCTACCAATGACTTCTCCAATCCCTAGCAACTAATAGGGACCCCATTCATGCTTAGCATACAAATAAGTGAACCAAATACCTAGGAGTCTTTTTTGGCGGGCTTTTGAGTGTCAGTTGACGTGAGGCTAGGGCTGAGCCAAGCTGAAGTCACCAGCTGCTGTTGCTTATTAATAAGAACAAGTCTACAAGATCCCTGGGGGCCAGTACAGGGAAGAGTGCAAGGAGCTCCTGGTTAGGACAGATTACTGCCCCTCAGGAGCTTCAAACAGGGACCTATGGTTCTGCTTACTTTGGCTGGCCCTTGAGAACTCCCAGTATATATGGGCTGCCATTTACCATCCTCTCTGTTCTCCTCCTGGCCCCTCCATGTGCCAGCTGGGGTGAAGCGCCACTAAGGGGGGCTTCAGGTGGCGGGTAGATCTCTTCTCCCAGGCCTGCTGGCTTCAGGGAAACAGTTGTCCTCTTTGCCCTGTTCTGCTCCTGCTGGCTGTCTTCAGTGTCCCAGGCTCATGGCCTCGGTCCTCTGTTTCTGCTCTTTCATTTTTCAAGAGTGCCACTCACTCCAGCTCCAGAGTACATCATTGTGTGATGACCTCTCTTCATTGTATTGGAAGCCACCAAGGAAAAGCAAGCTCCGAGGTCCTGGGTAGACGTGTTTGGGGCCTTTTGTATGGCCCATTGCCCACATGTCCTTTCTGTGGAGTCTCCCCAGCACGACTCGTGAACTTCCTAACTACCCATGTCCCCTGCCCCAGCTGCAGAATATGAGCCTTATTTGGTGTGTCTTGCCTGGGGTGTTTCTCTTGAATTTTGCTTAGTGACCATATCCCAGGGCACCATGGAGAACAATTTGGGGACAGTCACAGACACCGTAAGGGTCTCCCTTGTGGTCACCTAGAGTATAGCTGCTCAGGTATGAAGTGTGCACTGGGTGTGTGGCCCTTTCTAGGCTGGCATCCTGCCCAGGGTCACCATGAGCTCAGCACGTGTCCCATTCTTCACTCCTGCCCGATGGTCTGCGTACTGATTTGCTTGCTTTGGGGTTTTCAGAAGCGGGAAGGCCTGCTGCACTCCAGCCACATCTCAGAGGAACTGACCACGACCACAGAGTAAGTGATGGCGGTTGCCCCTTGGGGTTTTGTACCTCATGCCAGCTGGCCCCCAGGGACCTGTGCCTCATGTAAACCAGGCCCCAGACTCTGGCTTCAGCCAGGGACAGTGGCCTGGGTAAGCCTGTGTCTTCCATATTCTTTAGTCTTAGTGTGTGGGCACCTGCCTGCCTCCTTCCTCCATACACTTTCTTCCGGGATCTCCCTGCCAGCGTCTCTGCCCTCAGAGGCTTTCTAATTGCTGTGTTAGAAGGTGACCTGAAGGGGTGGTTCAGTCAGCAAAGTGCTTGCTGTATGAGTGTGAGGAACTGATCCTCAGCACCTACATAGAAAACATTCAGGTGTAGGGTGCACGTCTGTAACCCCATCACTGGGGGGGGCAGAGACAGGAGGATCTTTGGAGCCTGTTGGTCAGCCTGTCTAACCAAATCGGTGAGCTGCAGATTCAGTGAGAGACCCTGCTTCAAAAAACAAGATGGTGAGTCAGTCTCTGATCCCCCCCCACACACACAGACATACAATTTTAAAATTTTAAGCCAGGCAGTGGGGGCATACATTTTTAATCCCAGCACTCAGGAGGCAGAGATCAGTCTGCTCTACAGAGAGTTCCAGGACAGCCAAGGCTACAGATAGAAACCCTGTCTCGAAGACCCCCCCAAGAAAAAAATCATTTAGAAGAATGTCAGGGTACCAGATGTTTTAGCTCAGGATGGCCTTGGGACAGGTGTGTCCTTCCTTTTCACTTGTTAATCTCCGTTGCTCCCTTAGTGGGAGGAACCACATGACCTGCCAGAAACTGTTGAGTCCTCTGGTCTCTTTTCAAAAGCCTAGAGGAACTATACCCTAATAACAAACCTGATACTGTACCCTGTGTGTGGTCCCACAATGCCCCATGAACTCGGAACTCACCCCTTTTGCTTCTCCTGATAAACCTGTTTCGATGTTTAAAACATCGACGGTGTCAGCTAGCTCACCGGCTCCATTCACGGGATGCTAAGGCTGCATGTCTACAGCCTTTCAGAAGCTGACTGGCACAGAGTTCACTCAGGCATGGTGAGTGGGCTGCCAGAGAAGCTTAAGTTATGGCAGCGTGCCCTGTGGTGTGTGTGTGTGTTCCGTCCTGCTCTGTGTGGCCCTTGGGGAAGGACACAGAGCTGGGGATGGGGGTGTCAGGTGGGAGTGTGTTGTGCCAGCACCGTGGGTGTGTGACTGCAGAAGGGTGAGTTCAAGGAACGCACGGTGGGGTGGGGGCTTGGTAGCCTGACTCAAGACACCACCCCTCAGTCATTTCATTTTACTCACAGGCCTGCAGTCAGCCATGGGAGTGGGCTCAGCCAGGCAGTTCTGCTAATCTCTCTGCGACAGGTCCTGTGGTATCTGTATCTGAGGGCTTCCCAGGTCCTCTCATACTGCCTCTCCTCATGGACTGAGGTTCCTCTCCAGTTCCCTTCATGTTCTAAGAGGCTGAGTACCCTCATCCTGGCCCCATCATGGATTCCTGTACTGTGACTTTTTTTTTTTTTTCTGTGGGTCAGAGTAAGTCTGGGTCATCCTGAGCTAGGGATTTGGGAAAACAGACTCTGCCTAATGACCTTGAGTGGCCAGGGCCCTGTGGGGCTGTGGGAAGTAGCCGAAGCCGTCTATGCAGTCTGCTTATGGTGAGGGGGACCAGGGAAGGTAGCAAGAGGTGCTGGGGGCTCCACAGTCATGGGGCAAAACCTGAAAGCAGAGAGGTTTGGCCACGCCCTTCTGACAGCCTACCCACAGCTCTCTGGGAGCCTGCTGAGAGAGGTTTGGCCACGCCCTTCTGACAGCCTACCCACAGCTCTCTGGGAGCCTGCTGAGAGAGGTTTGGCCACGCCCTTCTGACAGCCTACCCACAGCTCTCTGGGAGCCTGCTGAGAGGTTTGGCCACGCCCTTCTGACCGCCTACCTGCGGCCCTCACCCCATGTCCAGCTCTCTGGGAGCCAGCTGTGTGGCTGCCAAAGCTGGTCCTGGGAGGAGCAGGGCGGGTGGTGGACCTGGTTCCTCTGTTCCAGGGCCGGGAAGGTAGTCAGGCTGACAAGCGTAGAATGTAACATCAGGCACAGGGTGGGGACTTGGAGAGATCTGTGGACACGGGGGCGTTTTCAGGGGTAGGAGCACCCTGGAGTCAGAGCGGGAACACTTCCGTCAAGCCATTTCTGTGGGATGTCAGACTATTCCACGTAGCCAAGGAAGCGCTGAGATTTTTCTAGTCACTTGTCTGCCCATCGACCTCCTGTCTGGCCTCCCAAGCTGGGGTTTGCTCTCTCCTGGGAGAGGCCTTCGGCCATCATGATCCCTGCTGTGCTCCTGTGGCTATACCCTGCCTTCTCTTTTCTGGTGAATGCACTTCTGGAGATGTACAGGCCCAAGGTTAGTTTTGTTTTGAGACAGAGTTTTACTATGTAGACCAGGCTGGCTTTGAACTCACAGAAATCTGCCTGCCTCTGTCTCTGGAGTCCTGGCATCACAGACGTGCACACTACACCAGGAAGTCCTTCCAGCTTGCCAGCCACATGGGAGTGAATGGCCTTGCTATTCCTGGAGCCTTTCGTAATCTTTCCTGATACCAGCTCTGATCTGTGGAGGAGAAACTCTGGCCAAGGCCAGGCTCAGGTGTTTGGTTCTGTGTCTCTATGTCCTGTACACAGTAGGCCTTTCCAGAAAGTACTTAATAGGATGGAGCCCAAGCACTTGCCCTAGAGGTTGGTGCTTAGGGACTGTCTCAATCCTCTTACCCTCAGGAAGGGAGCATGTGGGTGGCAGCCGAGCTTCACAGGAAATTCACCCTCATCCCCTGGAAGTTGGCTCAAGGACCATGACTCATGGGTCTTTGAGATGGCTGGGTTAGCTGCAGCCAAACTATCTTAGTTTACTTTCCACAGTCATGATAAACAGTATGACCAAAAGCAACTGAGGGGTAAATGGTTTGTTCCCGTCTACAGTTTATCACTGTGAGAAGTCAGGGCGGGAGCTCAAGGGGGGAATGTAGAGGTAGACCCTGGAGCTGAGGTCATGGAAAAGCACTGATCACTGACTTGCTCAACGTACAGTCCAGGCCACAGTCACAGCCAACTCAAAGCAGAGCCAAACTCGGCAGTCTAAGCATCTTAGTGTCTGACGCCTGGGACTCACTATCTTCTGGGCTCCAAGGAGCCTGAGCAGCTTTACCTTACTGGCTCTCCCCTCTGCAGGACACACCGTTTGTCCCTGGGCTCACCCTGGCCCCATGCCACACCTGCCCATGTCCCTAGTCATCCTGTGGTACTGGCATCTCCAAAATGCTGTGGTCTCCACCCGTGGCCTCACGACCTCTCTTTAGGGACTCACCCTATCACGTGCCACCAAGCCTCAGCCTTTTTCTCCACTACCCCTTCAATCCTGGGGCTACTAGTGCGGCGGAGGTTGCCCTGTCATCGAGGGCCCCTTCTGGTCTCTCTTAGTGCCAGCTTCAGCTTCTCTCCACGACCCTTTCATGCCTTCAAAACCAGCACCACCTTACCAGCCCCAGATGCAGCCTCGCTCCCCTCTGAAACACAGCTTCTGTGTACTGACTCTAAGGAAACATTTCCCAGATTTTAGCTCATTGATGCTGGTATCTTGTTTATCATGGCTGATTCTTCAGTCCCAGCTGACCAGAGCCATGGATTATTTCAAAATACCACATGAAAAACCCCATAGAGGGGGCAGGAGAGATGGCTCAGAAGTTAAGAGCACTGCCTGCTCTTCCAGAAGACCCGTGTTCAATTCCTAGCACCCACATGACAGCTCACAACTGTCTGTAACTCCAGGATCCAACACCTTCACACAGACATGCATACAGGTCAAACAGCAAAAAACAAATAGATAGATAGATAGATAGATAGATAGATAGATAAAATTAGAAGAGCTGTATAGAGTCTTTGAGGAACTTTCAAACTTCCCTCCAAACTTCACCAGTGAGGTTTCCCCCACATCATTTTCCAAGTTCTCACAACAGATCACTACTCTATAAGCATTCAGATGGCTTTTCTAGCCCAGGCTCCTTCCATACTCTCCCTGTATCTCCATGGTTCTCAGCCTTCCTAATGCTGCAACCCTTTAATCCAGTCCCTCATGTTGTGGGGACACCAAACATAAAATTATTTTCATTGCCACTTCATAAAAGTAGTTTTGCTACTGTTATGAATCATAACATAAATATTCGATAGGTAGAATGTCTGACATGTGACTCTATGAAAGGGTCTGTGGAACCCCCAAAGGGGATGCGATTCACAGGTTGAGAAACACTGCTCATTTGATGAGTATGGCTGTGAGACAATTTGACTAGAATCAATGTACTTCTATGTCCCTTGATCTGTTATTTCTGTCCCCTCCAGATGGCATACCAGGGTGGTCACCGTGTCAGGCAAGAGGGCAATTTGCTGTCACTGGTGTGCTGATGCCAGTCATCAGCACATGTCCCTCACTGGGTGCCCTGGGGCTGGGGGCTGGGGTCTGGTTGGCTCTACCTGTCCCCTTCTTAAGACTTGGTCCCAGTGACCATCTGACTCTTTGTTCTTGTTCACAGGATGATGATGGGCCGCTTTGGTAAGTACCTTGGTTTGGGGTGGGACACTCTGAGACCCGTGGGCACACAGTGGCCAACCCAGAAAGATCTAGCTTCTCAAGGGCATGCTTGTGAACTTGGGCAGGAGGGGTGAGGCTGGAGCGAGGGAGGAGTGCCAGCCTGGAGAATGTCTCTAGCTTACCCAGGAGGGAGGAAATTACCCACCCAGTCGACCCTGTCCCCATACAAGAGAGGACAGACAAAGGGACCAGAAACCTGTGTGCTTTTTAACTCTTGGAAGCCTGGCTCAGGGCCTAGGTAGGGACACCGATGTGGACAGTTCAAAACAGAAAGTCCTTGGCCACAATAGTGTTCTCCAGCCAGCAAGGAGGGAAGGAAGAAATGGAAGCCAGCTAGAAGCTCCCAGGTCATTGCCAGATATGTGCCAGACACTGGGGAATCCTTGGGGGTCAGGTGCCTCCTTCAAAACCCCACAGAGCACCCTTCTCTAACCTGGAGGTTGTAAAGAAGGGAGGAAGGGTGTGAATTGTCCCCCGTGGAGAGTCGACACAGCTCTGATGGCCTGGGAGGTCTTGAGCTGAGAGAAAGCCACAGCCATGTGGCCCCTCAGCCTTTTCCAGCGGACAGGTGCTATGGTTGCTGGGGAAATTCACAGGCTTTCAACATGTTGATAAAGCAACTCAGCTCTCCTGTTTCCTTCCTAGTCTTCAATGTCACTGTTACTAAATACAAATCAAGGAAGATGGAAGGGAGCCTCCATTCAGTCTGTGAAGGAGAGGCAGGGTGGAGGCAGACATGGGTCCATGTGGGACCGTATCTAGGTACAGGCTAGTTTAGAGCCGCGTCTTCCTGTCACACATCCTCTACGGAGGAGGCTCTGAATCCCTGGGGATTGCAGAGGCGGGAAGATGACAAACGGGGGAACCTGAGTGTGTCTGAGTGTGGAGTTGTCACTTGTGTGATTGAAAAGAGTTGGTTTGTTTGTGGGGAGGTGAGCCTGGCCCCGGTGTATCTTGGGAGCCCTGGCAGCTGGGAAGAACATCTGGTCAGGCACACAGGGTGTGGTTCCCAAAGGGGGAGCCAGCTGCACCCGGACTCATTGAGGTACTGGGGACATCCGAGGCCATAAGAGGCCTCGGAGGCTGTACTCACTTCCCTTCTCACATGTTCTGGCGTAAGATGAAACAGGCTATTAGCTAGTGACAGGCAATTAGTTTCGCCCCCGCCTTGTGCTTCTGCTGACGCAAAGAGGTCTCCTAGTTACGCCTGACAGCCTTAGTCTTAGCCTCGGTGAAGTGAGTCCCTGGGCTCCTAGGCGTCCTCTTGTGGAGAGTGGCAAGTGGCTGTCCCAGGATTTCTGGTCACCCGTTGTCGTATGTTTCCTGTCCCCAGTCCCTACAGTGGCCTCTAAGGACATCACGTGCCCTGTGGCCTCCTTGGTTTTTCACCTCCTGAGTGTCCAGGCCCAGCCCTGTGACCCCTCTCACTTTCATTGCTCTCCAGCTGAGATGCCCTCCTGCCAAATTACCCCAGGGTTCCCTCCTGCACAGCTGAACTATCATTCACTAGGGATCCCCTGCCACAAACCAGGGTACACTGGTCCTGCTATCCTCAAGTTGTCTGTGATCATCTGCCACACTTAGAGCCAGCCAGCCTTACTCCCAGGCTTTGCATGTGTGCTTCCCCGACCCAGGACAGTGGTGCAAATGCTATGTTTGCAGTCATATCCAATGCCTCTTCCTTTGCTCTGGGCTCTAGACATATCCTGTTGGCAGCCACTCACTCCCAGCCTGTATGATCTCAGCAGCCCTCCCTGAACCACTGTCTCTTAAGAGGAGGGTCCGAGATAGCATGCTGACCCCACCTAGGCTGAGCCTTGCAAGAACGAGATCCCTCAGCCTGCTTGGCCTTCAAGTGTTGTGTGCAGGGGGAGCAGCACCTCTCTGGTCACTCTTCGGTCATTCCAGCAGATAAAGGGGGGGCCCAGCTCCTTCCCATCAGCATCTTGTCCTGGCTGAGGTGGAAGCAGGTTTTTCTTCTCCCTGGAAACAAGTCTCCTGGGAGCTGGGAGGTTAGAGCCTGGTCTCCATAGCAACGGCTTTGCTAGTTGCCTTTTCTCTAGCTGGTGGCCCTTCCTCCCTGGCTCCCCCACTCAGGAGCCCTTTCTGATGCTGTCAGAACGGGACGGGCAAGAGCAGAAGCACCTTCTTCATCCCAGCTCAGTTTGCTGTGACTCAGTCTCCCCCTTCACCTCTTCGTCGGAACCTCTGCTAAAACTCTGACTTGGGGTTCATACCCCCGTTTACACCCCCTGGTCACCTTGCACCCATAATGCCAAGCAGAGCTCCTGTCAGCTTCCCTCCCGGAACACCCTGCTCTTAAATCAACTCTGGGATCTCTCACGTTTCCCTTTGCACATTCTGTTCCCTCTGCCTGGCATTGCCCTTCCCTTCAGGTCTCTCCAGCAAGCCTGGCTCAGACCTAAAAGCCCTTTCCCCCATCCCTCCGTTACTCTAATCTCTTGTCCATGGGTACACACTTGGGTGATGCCAGAGACCAGCCTGACAGTGGGCCACACCTCAGAAGCTGGGGGTTATGAGAAGAGGGCTGTGAAGGACGGGGAAATAGGAGCTTCCAGCCCTGTCCTGAGTACACCCCTGACGCCAGGTAGATGTGTGGCTCACTGTGGTCCCAGCCTCTGCTTTCTAGGGGAGCCAGAAATGCGGATTGGGGAGAACCTTTAGTATAAAGGAGACTGAGTGAGGCTCCAGGGTAGATCTGGGATCCTCCTGTCTGTGCCCTTCCCAACTAGTAACCTCCCTAGCACAGGAGACAAATTGTGGAGACCCAGACATGCCTGAGGGCGGAGCTTGTCCCTGTGGCCCCATCACAAGTCCTGATGCTCACAGGGGTGGTGGGAAGCACACAAGATTGTTCCTGCTTACAGAGTAAGAGACCCTTCGGTTAGGGAAGTGGCCTGAACTCTGTGGGCTTTCAAATCATTCGGTGAAGATATAAACCCAGCTCTGCCCTGACCCCCCAACACCTGTTTAGAGCCCCTGGGCCCTCCTGGCCACGGGGTCACATGATGTGTCCTCTAGGCCCAGGTGAGCAGCCAGCGTGGGAGGTGCCCAGCAGCCACCCCCACATAGCACTCTGCCAGCCCAGCAGTGGCCGGGCTAAATAAACCAGTGACGTCAAGTGTCTTGGCTCCTGGGGCTTTGCCTAAGCTGCTTTACAGGGCTGCACTGCTTCATGAGGACTAAGCTCCTTTTGCCCCTTTACAGATTGTTTTCAGGGGGATAATCTGACTTAGCTGATTATGGAAGTGAGTGACAGATGGTGCTAACTGAGAGTGGCTTTTTGTCCCCACCGACTCTTAGGGGAAGGAGCTGCCTCCCTTCCTGCAACAGACGTGCTCGAGCACGAGCACACACACACACACACACACACACACACACACACACGCACGCACGCACGCACGCACGCACGCACGCACACACGTGCAGATCCCTTCTCTCCATTTTGCCTTTTACCTTCCCCAAGACTGAGAAAGAGGCTCCAGGTTGGATAGAGATGTCTCCAGACCCTGGCCTGAGTCTCTGGCACCTTCCTCTTGGGGCTAGGTGGGTAGGAGGCTTCCTTTAGACCATTCTGGCTGGCTCTTCTCCTAGGAACCTTGACTTTCTCAGCTCTCCTTAGCCTTCTTAGTTCTCCTTCTTCCTCCTCCTCTGCGTGACCCCTCCCCCCCAGGTGGGAGAAGGCTCCCTGTGCACCCCCATCCCACCAGGACTCATGTTGGAACTGGGAGTAGACGGCCTCTCTGCTAGCTCTGTCCCAAGAGCACACAGTGCCCCAAGAGCCAAGACGACAGAGGCGGGGTCTGGGTCCCTGGCAGTGCCTCCCTCCCCCTGCAGTGCTGTTGGCCCTGGAGCCCCAGACCTCTGCCTTGACCTGGGCTGCAGCCATCTATCCCCAAGGCTTCTGTGTCCCTCACTTCTTTCAAACATTGGCAGATACTGGGGCTCACAGGGCGCCTCTGGAGGGGTCCCAGTTCTTGTGTCCCTGAACAAAGAACAAAGAACAGAGCAGAGAGACACACAGTTACAGCCACAACAGCCAGTTTCCTGAGGAAAGGATCCACTTCCAATGGAGGAAGTGAGGCCTCCAACGTGCAGAGCTGGGCTCCCCAGTTACCTTGGAACCGCTTTCCCCTCATTTGCATAGCAAGGGTATTTTGGTTCATTTGCATAGAGTAGGCTTTTCTGAGTGCTCTGTCACATGTAGTTCACTCAAACTCATGTGTCAGCATCTCTCACTAGCATCTTAAATCTGCCCCCAGGGGTGTGCCACGGTGTTACAATGAGCCCCAGGCCACCCTCAGACACTTTGGAGTGCTTGTGGCCTGAGCTAGAGACATGCAGATGTTCAGATTTTTTAAAAAAATTGTTTTCTTTGTCAGCCTTGGTGGACTGGAGGTGTCCTTTGTGGGAAGGGGGGGTGGTTTCAGGGTTCCAGTGTTCCCTCTTTGGCAGCTTGGTTTTTTCCTATCCCAATTTTGCAAGGCTTCTGTCCTCTGGTGGCCTCAATCAAGTAGGGAAGGATGGGGGCTTCTTGCTGATTGGGGAGGTAGCTTGCACACTTGTGACAGAACACATCAGGGAAGGGAGAGGTGACGGGGCACACCTCAGGGAGGAAAGGGCTGTCTGCAGGCATCCTGCAGGGGACAGCAAGGGCTCAGATGCCATCACAGTGAGCACCTCTGCTCTTGCCCTTCCCTGTTGCTGGGGTCAGAGACAGGGCCAGCAGTGGGAGAATCCTCTGTCTCTCCGGGAAAGTTAGGGCCTGAAGAGCCAGCAGACAGTACTGCAAGGAGAAACTGTCATTTCAAGTTGTGATAAGTACAAGTCTGAGCCCTCCAGAGGAGGTGACCTTGGAGAGCAACCTGGGGGCAGTGTGGCTGTGTCAAAGGCCCCCAAGGCATGTCTGCACCTCAGGGGTAGGGGGAGACCATTTTGTAAAGCCTGGGGGAAGTGTAGGAGGTGACCACCTTGTTATACCCAGGGGAGACAGCATGGACCACAGTCTAAGAGGGATGAGAGGTAGGTCAGTGATGAGAAGACATCTGGTTACACTTTTAAGTCTGGCTGCTGAGGGAGAAGAGGCCAGTTGCCCTGGAGGCTGTGACCAACCCCAACTAAGAGGAGGTGGACCAGGCATGGGGTCAGCAGGCCTGGCTAAGAGTAGAGGTGTGGGATTCCAGACAGTGATGGAGCATAGGAAAGTAGAGTCCAGGATGCTACAACTGCTCAGCGGGCTTGTGGAGGTGCCCATGTGTGACCAGGTAGGTACCCCATGCCCAAAGCATTACAGACAGTTAACAGAGTTGGAGAAAGCCCCACGCACCCCTGGTTCATAAGCCAGCTCACGATCTCGGCTTTACTCAAACTCAGGGACGGTGCCAATCCGCAGGCTCCTCTGCTCTGGCAGAAACTAGAGGGATCAAGCAGGCAGGAACCCCAAGGCTAAACATCCCAAGGGAGGGGTCAGGGTGGCTGTTTCCAGAACCGATGGCTGAAGGTTGGGAGCGAGGGCGGCAGAGTTCTCTCTCCATCTCCCCTCTGTGTTCTCTCTTGCATGTCATGGCAGAGCGGGATGCCTTCGACACGCTTTTCGACCATGCACCGGACAAGCTCAACCTTGTGAAGAAGGTAGATCTCCTCCCACCCCAGCCCCCACCAGCCCCACCCCTCATGGAACCTGTGCCTACGGAGGCTCTGTCTAGACTCTCTGCGGACCCCAGGCAGGCTGAGATGTTTGAGATTTCTAAGGTTGGCCCTGTGGTTTGAGAGCACACTCGGTAATGTGTGGCATGGCGGTGCTCCTTTACAATAGGGTCAAGTAGACCAGACCGAGGGTACAGCTCTATCCTGGAGGAGGATCTGGAGGGTCTCAGACCGCCATGTGGGGGGCTGTTGGGGGTGGGGAGGTCTGCAGAAGGTTGCCGATACCGCCTTTGCTTCTCTACCGTACCAGTCTCTCATCACATTTGTGAACAAACACCTGAACAAGCTGAACTTGGAGGTGACCGACCTGGAGACCCAGGTAGGCAGGGCTTTGGTGGAGGGCCCTTCTATCTGGCCTGTGCTTCTAGCAACTCTCAACTCAAGTCAGATGTGGGAACAAGTGGGGCCACCTTGTCTCTCTTAGGAGGACCTCCCAGTGTGTAGCGCTCAGTATCGCTGTAGCTCACAGTATTGCCCCAGCCTGACCACGCTGGCTGCTCAGACCCTCTGCTTCCTATAGCTGTGGCCGCCAGAGACTGAAGGCTGAAGCCATGGGCTCTGCAAGCTGGGAGTCCAGAGTCGCAGTGTGGGCAGGCTAGCTCCTTCCCAGTCCCTCTGTGGTTTCTGCTGTGTTTCTGCAGGCGGGCTCTGGTGTTCTTACATGTGGAGATGTATGACTTCCATCTTCTTTTACCTCCTCCTGTGTCTACGTCTTTGTGTCTGTGCATCTGCATTCTGCACACAGCTCTCTGCCCTCACCCGTCTCCTTCCCCAGAGTTAGTGTCTAGAAATGGATGCATGAGAGCAAAGAAGCATCGTGTTGGATTAGAGCCCACACTAATGACACAAGTGTAACAGAGACCCTGTTTCCAAATGGAATCACACACAGAGTCTAGGGATTAGGATTTTGGGAGAGACAGTTCAGCTTTTAGCATCCACCCCTAAGACTCCATCACACCCTGCCACAGAGTCCTTTGCTTCAAAGGTCTAAAGGTCTAGAACATTCTGTGTCCTCTGCTTCTATGGTAGAGACATTGCAACCTCACATTTGGTCCTGTGGCAGCATGGAGATGATGCCCCATCTAACCTGGGGCCAGAGAGATCGCTCGCTGGTAAAGGTGATTACCAAGCAAGCCTGAGGACCTGAGTTTGATCTCCAGGGATGCCCATAGTGGAAAGACAACTGACTCCTGCCAGTTGTCATGTGACTACATACGCACTGTGACATGAACCTGTTGCCCGCCCCATACATCACACAAATTACAAGAATAGAAATAAAATAAGCATCCATTTGGGGAATAGGGACAAAATACTTCTGCCATATGTATCTCACATGCTCTCTCCTCCAGCTAGAGCTCATTGTGATGACAGTCTCCAAGCATACAACAAACCCTGAGGGTCCAACAGAATTGTCCCCAGCTTAGTTGTGAGTTCTGAGTCTGAATCCTGGGCACAGACATCCCTAATGCACTGCTGATCCTTCCTAAACCCCTGGGCGTTTTCTTCTATTGCTTTCTCTTTCCTTAACTTCTCTCATTTGCTTTTCTAATTAAAAAAGTAATTCAGGTTCATCGCAGAAATGTCTGAAAATGAAGATAAGGAAAACAAACAAAAGTCACCATAATGTATCACCCCACTGCACTCCGGGGTTTGCTCCAGATACTTCTCCTGGGGATCCTGGGTGTATGCAGTGTGGTCTGCCTTAGGAAGCGGATTGTGTGTGCGTGTGCACACGCATGCCTGTGATTTGCAAGGGCAGCTCCTTCCCTTAGCTGTTAGCTCATGCAGCATGACACTTTCTATTTCCTGAAGCCCTGGAGGCTAAAGCGAAAGCTGCTTCTCTCCCTCCCCACTGCCCACCCTCCCCACCCCCACCATTCCGCCTGGGTCTCTTTCAAAGTGTTCATGCATAAAACAACACACTCTCTTTAATAACAGTGGATCACACTGGACAGCTGTTTTGTAATGTGCTGTGTGGTTTTTCCTCCCTAAATACATTTTGGCGTCTTCTTGCAAGAGATGGATGTCTCTGCCTGAAGCTATTCCTCTTTCAGTCTCTCTCTCTCTCTCTCTCTCTCTCTCTCTCTCTCTCTCTCTCTCTCTCTCTCTCTCTCTCTCTCTCTCTCTGTCCCTCCCTCTCCTCAAGACAGGGGCTTGAGGTTAGTCTTGGATTCATTTTGTAGCCCAGCCAGGCTGGCATTTGACTTTTGGTGATCTTCCCGTCTCAGCCTCCTGAGTGCCAGGGTCACAGGCACGCACCACCATACCTGGCACCTTTTAACCATAACCTCCTTGGGCTGGGAAGTGCAACTCAGTCACTCAGCATTTGCTCACACTCAAGGCCCTTGGTTCCCTCCCCAGCACTGTTAATAACCACCTTCCCTTCAGGTGTGAGGCTGCAACAGCGTAAAGTAAAGCAGCCTGAGACTGGACCCCTTCCCGCTCATGGGCATGCCGCGTGGCCGCTGTTGTGCAGGAAGTTATTTGTGCCCTGTCTGTCTCCTTGGGGCCAGCATCTAGAAACGGAGGCAGACATGGAGGTGTTTGAACAAAGCAGCATGCTCCATGAGGCCTAGGAAGGTGGGATCGTGGGAGTGGCTTCATCTGTGTGGGCAGTGACCCACATCCATGGCAGCCCACCCAGAATTTTCCTCTCTCTCTCTCTCTCTCTCTCTCTCTCTCTCTCTCTCTCTCTCTCTCTCTCTCTCTCTCTCTCTCTCTCTCTCTCTCCCTCTCCCTCCCTCCCTCCCTCCCTCCTTCCCTCCCTCCCTCCCTCCTTCCCTCCCCCCCTCTCTCTCTTTCTTCTTTTTTGAGACAGGGTTTTTCTGTGTAACAGCCCTGGCTGTCCTGGAACTCACTCTGTAGATCAGACTGGCCTTGAACTCACAGAGATCCACCTGCCTCTGCCTCCTGAGTGCTGTTTCTTATGTGGTTCCTCGGGACTCACAGCAGAGTTTCTCAGACCAGGGGGACATCTGCATTTTCTCATTGTCTTTTTCTTCCCTGTAATCAGAGTGTAAACCAGGTCAAGTCTGCTTTAACCATCTCTGGCATCCTGTTAAGTCTGTGCATAGCAGCTCACAACTGTGACTCTAGGGGATCCAACATCTTCTGGTCTCCATGGGCAACAGGCATATACATGGTGCACAGACACACATGCAGGCAAAACACTCATACATGTAAAATCTGAAAGTTAAAAAATTGTGTAAAGCTGGTTAAGGTGGAAACTTTTATGTTCTATGTCTCAGAGGCCCGTTGCTGCCACTGTAAAAAGCAGCCGTTGCCCTTTCCTGGCTTGCTGAGGGAGGGCCCTTTATTCTGGTCCCCTCCTGTGGGTGACTGGGGCATGGGCCTCTTCCCTTGAGCTCTGCTGAGAGTTGCCAGTGCAGGTTGGGAGTCGGAGGGGGATGGGGTCCTGGGGTGAGCGCTGCATCTTGTGAGCATTCCCACACCCTCCTACACACGTGCAGGGTGTCTGTCCACCCCACACATGCCCCAGAATTGCCACCAAGTTTTCTCTGTAGTTTGCAGATGGTGTGTACCTGGTTCTGCTTCTGGGCCTCCTTGAAGACTACTTCGTCCCCCTCCACAACTTCTACCTGACACCTGACAGCTTCGACCAGAAGGTAAGCGTCTCCTGAGAGTAGCCCCAGCCATGCTTACTGTGGTAGACAGAAGGAATGTCCCCTGATACCACTGGCCAGCTGCAGCCCCTCAGTATTCTTTAGGATGTGAAGCTACTCAACATGTGGGCTTCCATCTGATATAGCTCCCTGAAGACAGAATAGGAAACCCCTTTGTGGCATGCAGTACATCCAAGTTTGCTTGGTCATGTCTCCTCCAAGTCATTCCCATAGGCTCTGTTTTTGTTTTTGTTTTTGTATTTGTTTTTTTGACTCTGGTCAAGTGCCACACACAGCCCTTTGGGCTTCCTTTTTTTGGGAGCCTCCAAATGTTTTGTCCCAGGGTGATACATGTGGCTCTGTGGTATGTGCATGTATGTATCTCTTACTTTGAGCTTCTGGCTGCTGTGTCAATTTGCTTCTATTTTTCTCCTGCCACAATAGAGCTTTTTTTCAAATATTTACAGTTGTCTCTCTGAATCTTCTGGGGACAGGTTCCAGGGTCCCCTTGGGTACCAAAGCCTGCAGATGCTCAAGTCCCACATGTGAAATGTCATATAAAGCATAAAGCCTACGCACTTCCTCCTGTAGATGTTAAATCCTGTCTGGTGCCTTATAATACTTAATGCAATGCAAATGCTATGCAAAGTAGCTGCTTTCTGTATTGTTAGGGAGCAACAGTGGAGGGTGCTTGTTAAGTATCCTGCATTCTCCCAGACAGTGTTTGTGTGTGTGTGTGTGTGCCTGCATGTGCGTGTGTCTGTATGCATCTGTATGTCTATGTCTGTATATATGTACCTGTATGTCTCTTCATGTGTGTACACACAGGATTGTGTGTAGCCATGTATGTGTGTGTCTCTGTGTATGTGTATGTCAGTGAGTATGTACATGTCTGTGTGTATGTATATGCTTGTCTATCTCTGTTTATGAGTGCATATGCATGTATATGTATATGCAATCATTTATATAAATATACATGTTTGTATGTGTGTGTATTTATGTACACATGTATGTGTATGTATATCCTCATATATACCTTGTGGATTTATGTGTGTGTGTGTGTGTGTGTGTGTGTGTGTGTGTGTGTGTGTATGAGCATACATTGAGCATGTGAGCACATATATATGTGTATGTGGTGGGGCTGTGTGCATGTATGCATATTTTATTTCTGTGCTTCGTTCCCTAGAAAGTTCCTCCTGTAGGGCCCTCTGAATCAGCTCCACGCCACCTGTGTCCCTGTCTCTCTCCTCCTGTGCTGTCTGTCCCTCCTGGGTTTCCCGCAGTTAGGTCTGCAACTGAAGAGTTAGCACCTCACTTTTGGGGACTTGGCAGAGGCCAGGCTGGACTGCTTGGGACTTGTGGCACCTGCCACTTTATTTTTCCAAAGTGTGAGGCTCACGAGGCATGGAGGCAGACGGTGGCAACCGCAGTGGGAGCCAGGGTAACAGCAGAGGACAGGCCAGTGTTTATCAATCTGCCGACTCCTGGCACCAAACAGTCTGTCTGCTCCTGGCCAAATGCCGTTCCTGTCATGCCTGCAGAGATAGAATTGGGCGGATTAGAGAGATCTTGGCATCTGGGGGAGCACACTGGGTGGAGGGAGAGTGAGTGGTGCAGAGCTCACCAGGACCCTGGAGCCTGGTGCAGTTGTCGAAATCTGAGGGCAGAGTGTCTGGGGCTCAGGGTTGTGCATATGCAGGCCCTGTGTGACTCTTATCTCTGGGAAACCCTGTCTTTGTTTAAACCAATAAGGAGGCTGGTGAGAACCGTGACTCATCAGTAGAACTGGGTCTTTGTCCAAACAAGGCTTTGTACAGACCGAGGAAGCCACACTCCTCAGCCTGGCTTTCTCCCTTTGAAAGCAGGGTGAACATCTATGCTGGCACTGCCCTGGCCTAGGAGGCTTCAAGAATGCCTCTGGTGATGAGCACACATCCAGAGGGTCCACCCATTCTCCAGGGAGGCACGGGGTTTGGGTGTGTGACTCTGCAGGCATCTGGGGTCCTCTCCTTGGAGAGGTATGAGGATTGGAACCCTTTCTTTTTTGCACACACACACACACACACACACACACACACTCACAGACACACACACACACACTCTGACCTCTTCCTCCTGGGGGGGAGAGGTGGTGGTGAGGGTCATCACAAGTTATTGCCACACTTCTATGAGCCTTGACCTGTTTATTTGTCTCCTAGTCCTCATGGGAGGGCCATGTCCTGCTCTGGGGCTGGCAATGTCTTTGATGAGCTCTGTGGTCTGAAGCTGAGGGTCCTTTGCTCTGTCCCCGGGCATCTTGGTGACATCTCAGGAGTGCTGAAGGCAGCAGAGATTCAGCAAGCCCAGTAGGAGATGTACCAGGAGGTGTTCTCTCAAGCAAAGCAGCAGCCGACATTTTTAACCATTTAGTCTGGGGATGCTGCTTAGTTGGTAGAGTACTTGCCTATCGTACACAGGTCCTGGGTTCGATCCCTGGCATTGTGTGAACAGGCACGATGATGAACATCTATAATCCCAGCAGGTGGAGGCAGGAAGGTTAGAAGTTCAACGTTATCTTCCTATACTTAGTTTGAGGCCAGCCTGGGCTAAATGAGACTGTCTCAGAAGAGTCAAAGCAAACAGCTTTAGGCTGAGGAATAGCTCAGTGGCAGAGCGTGTACCTAGTGCACAGGAAACCCTGGGTTCTCTCTCCAGCACTGAGGTGGGGGAGGGGGGAGCCACAGGACCAGACAGCTCAGACCCTGTGGGTTCCAGCCTTCTGTTAATTCATGATTGACGTTGTAAAGGGAGAGTATTGCTGGCATTCCTGGCTCACCCACAATGGAGTGACAGACAGTGCTACTACTGGAGAGACAGTTGGTCACTGTGAGCCCTCAGGCCTGTCCAGCTGGTGTCTGTGGCCTTGCTGGTTTGGTGGTCTACCTTCCCATCCTCCTCTGCTCAGGGCAAGCAGAAGCTACAAATAGTTTGGTTGGTCTTGACTCCTGTAGACTTTAAACATGATGGAGCCTCAATGGAGTGTTCAGTTGGGTGAGTGGGGCAGGCAGGACGGGGTGGGCAGGGCAGGGCGGGGTAGGCAGGGCAGGGGGGGGTGGGCAGGTAGATGGTCAGGGCCGGGACCAGAGACCTCCATACAGGCCCTCGGGGTAACCTCAATTACAACTGGGTCAGCACAGACACAGTCCGGCCTCCACAGATGCCCAGGTCTTTAGTTACCTGACAGGTAGCCCGAAGCTGCAACATTTCTGTGCGCAGAGGAATGTCCAGAGCTGAGTGCCTTTGCAAGGGACTTGTCTTCCCCAAACCTCAGTTGCCCAATCTGTCATTTCTCATCATGTGGTAGATTCTGGCTCAGAGCTGGAAGCTGCTATCCTCCCGCTTTCAAACGCAGATCCTTGACGTGGGGAACAGGAACTGTTGAGTTACCCCCAGTGGATTTACTGTGTGTGCTCCGCCTGTGTCCAGTCCTCTGTCCTGCTGGGCTTTGTACGAAGGGAAGCTGTCAGTTCTTTCCACAAGGAAGGAATGTGGACATGGTCAGGTTGGGGGGGGGGGACATGGACCTCGCTGGCACTGACCGTGTTTCTGTCTTGTCTCTGGCAGGTGCACAATGTGGCCTTTGCCTTTGAGCTGATGCTCGATGGAGGACTCAAGAAGCCCAAGGCACGCCCTGAAGGTAACACCCCACCAAAGCAGCTCAGAGCACAAAGAGGGACAGCAGGGACTGGGGCCCCAGGCAGCCCGCATGTCCTATGGACAGGCGGCAGACATTTTTCTGCAGCACGTGGGGCAATGCAGCTCACAGCTCCTGGAATCTGTCCTCTTCAGCCAACTCTGTCTGTTTCCTTCTGCAGATGTGGTAAACTTGGACCTCAAATCTACTCTGCGTGTCCTTTACACTCTGTTCACCAAGTACAAGGACGTGGAGTGACACAGCAGCTGATCCTTCCGGGACAGTTTCTAGGCAAGAAAACTCGGTGTATCTGTCCACAATCCCTGCCTTCCCAGGAGATACTTCCTCCAGGGAGGCCTCAGGCTTCCCATCCCAGCTGGGCAATGCCCCTCCTCTCTGCTCCCTGCCTGGTTTGGTTGTTGTTTTAAACCCATTTCCTCTGTGGCTCCCTAGCCGACCAGTTAGGCCTTTGAGAACTTGGTGCTTAAAACGTCCTCTCAGGTTTGAGGCCTCACTTCCTCTTTTTCTTCAATGAAAAGGAACAAAGCCCTAGCCTAGCCCTCAACTGGAAAGGGCTGTCCACCTGTGCTCCAACCCACTGAGCAATTACTGACAGAGCCCAGCAGCCCCGGCTCCAGGGACTCCGCCCCACTTGTCCTCAGGAATCCCCTGGGCTGGGCTCTCCTTGGAAGCAGGGTCTTGTCTTAGTAAAAGGATCTCGCAGTTTTTCACTCCTGTCTCAGAAGCCTTAGACTTGTGACGTGTGTTCCTGCCCCACCCCTATCCATCTTGTGGTTTACTGGTCTTGACTGACCTTTCTCATAAACTCTCAGGACCCAGAATGCCTCGGGCCCCCAGAGAAGCTGCACAGGGCCTGTCTGGGTCTCTTGCTGGCTCTGAATGTGCCCGTTGAGCCGGCTTGGGGCCAGAACCTTGCGTCTCTGAGGCCTGTTAGGGAATGGACACATTTTTAGAGACTTTACGAGGGGGTGGGTATCCATTACTAGGGCTGCCTGAACACAGACTACAGGCAGCCAGAATAACAGAGGCGTGCATCTGTCGGCTCTGGAGGCTGGAAGGAGATGGAGGTGCTGGCAGGGCCTGGCTTCTGAGGTCTCTTTCTTACTGCTTCTTTCGCACCATCCCTTTTCCTGTATCAGTCTTTTCTTCCTTCTGATGTGGAACCCTTCCCCTGATGGCCTCACTGACCCCATGACAGCTGCAAGGTCTCCAAATGCAGTCTCCCTCGGACACGCTGGGAGTAGGTTTGTGAGGCGTGTCTCAGCTGCTTGTGGGGGGGGCATATGAAATGTCCACCTCCTTCCTAGAACTCTGCTGGCACCCCCTGCAGCATGTCCTATAAGAGAGAATGCTGCTGCTCACACAAGCCATTCACCACTCATTCTCCTGGACTCCAGAGAGGCATGGTGATGCCATGGCCGGCTGGCTTCTTGTCTGGGGAACCCTACTTCTGTGGCTCACCCCCAGTCCTCCTACCTCCAGCCTTCTATACGGTCACCCTCTTCCTTGAGCCTTCAGCGTCCACAGCAGCTACAGGGAACCCCTCTCTTCTGATTCCCACTTTGCTGTGAAGTTCCAGCAAGCGGTTTAATATCCTCCCTTGGTTCCGCTGTTGCTAAGCTGGGGATGGTCTTGGAATAGTTTGCTCCGGTGGAGGTGGCTTCCCAGCAGGGGAAAGAGATAATTAAAACGGCATTACCGTGTCTCCCCGTGGGATGCAGCGACATTAACGAGCCACACTGACAAAATAGCCAAGACTGGAACATTCTGTGCAGCCTCCCCTACATGCACACAACCACAGCAGCGTCTGGGAGCTGCTGGGTCCTCCTTGCTCTGCTCACAGGTGGTCTTGGCAAGGGTGTCTCGTATCCCTGGAGCAGGGAGCCTTGATGCAAAGGGTTTGCAGAGACCTGTGGTGCTGAGGGGGAAAAAGGGGTTGGTCTGGGAAAGGCAGTGGTTTCCTGCACATCTCTATCTGGAGGACGCAAGTCCCACTTGGAATCCAAGTGGACTCCTTGCCCTACAGCAGAACTGGTGAAGCCAGGGTTCCATGAAGATATGACCTTCCCTGTTGGCTGAGCGTAGAAGTGTGGTTTTGAAACGCCAGTGAAGGGCTGCCCAGTGGGGAGTTAGCACTCATACCACAGCCTGGACAGAGGCACCTGGAGACCAACTTCAGGGCCACCTGTGTGGCAAGGCTTTCTTCACAGATAGCCAGCTGGTGCCCGGTTAGCTTTGGGAGAGCTGTCTCCCTCCATGCCCTCGGGTAACCAGTGCCTCCTCTTCCAATTTTCCCAAGGCTCTCACTGGGGGCCCCCTGGAATGCAAATACTTCCCTTTGAGTTCCAGGAAGTTCTGGAACCTTCTACTGTTTGGATCTACATTCTCTCCTGATATTTATTTGAAGGGAAGTCTGGCCACCAAAACTGGTAGAAATGCCATCATCTGTCGCCCAACACACAGAGTCACAAGGAAAGGTCAGGCAGGTCTGAACCCCCCACCCCCAGGTCTGCAGGCCAGGTCTGGGGTTGCCCCCTTTGTCCTGTACCAATTGCACGTCTCCTCCAGCCCTGATGACCTGGGTGGACCAGCAGGCATGTCTTGTTCCTCTTTTGCGCCCAGTCGTGCAAGCCCTGAGCCCAGGGCCCCTGTATCCTCATGGACCTGACAAAACGGGATCTTATTTTCAAACAGCCAAATCCGCCCCCTCTATGCTGTAGCGCTTTATTGTCTTTTTAATTGTTCGAAGCAAAGTGTCCTTTGGATTTCTGGATATTAAATAAAAACCACTAAACCCCCGGCTGTGCTTTGATCAGACCCTCCTGGCAGACAGCAGGGACAGCGTGCTTGCGACAGCTCAAACTCATGGCTTCTTGTGCCAGACATTCAGGCTGGAGACGAAGCCCGGGTGTCACAGTGTGCTCTGACTTACTCTAGTAATGAGCTCAGATGCACCAGCTGGCCTCTGACTCTTTGGGGGCTGCTTCTCGCACATTCCATGTCCATTCTCCCTGCCCAGAGCTGGGGCTGCATCATTTCACATTTGCAGCCTGGCTTGAACTCTTCCTTCTGGCGCCACCAGGCACGGGCTGAAGGAAGACATGGTGGGGAGCAGAAGGACTGGGGGATGGGCTTCCCTGCTCTCTCTGTGGAAGGGGTAGGAAGTCAAAATCAGCCTGTGATGGCAACCTCAACTTGGCATTCTGTACCCCCTTCCCCGAAGAAGTCCCATGCCTTGGGTACATTTTCTCTACAGCGTGGTGCTTACTGGGAAGCCAAGAGTTCAAGGCCAGCCTGGGCTACATAGTTCCAGGGTAGCCTGAGCTATCAAGTGAGACCTTGTCTCAAAACAGTTTCTCCTACCCCCAGATGCCCAAATGGCCTAGACAGCAAGTCAGTGATACTGTTTAAACAGACTAGGAATGGGAGGTGCCTCAGTGGGTAAGGTGCTTACTATGTAATCAGAAAGACCTGAGTTTGGATCTCTAACTTTATGTGCTGGGTGTGGGCTTGGGAGTCCATAATCCCAGATCTCCTCTAAGACGGGAAGTGGAGACAGAATCCCTGCCTGCTAACCCAGCTACTCTGGGGAACACAGCAAGGAAAAGCAAAAGGACCCTGCTTCCAGGAGGTGGAAGGTGAGACCTGACACCCGAGGTTGTCCCCGGGCCACTACACACGCCATGTGTGCTCCCACTCACAACAAAACATATGTGTGCGCACAGATTTATTTTAAGCTAGCTGGAAATGACACTGGCTGGGAAAGATTTACGCTCTGGATGGACTCTTGGGCAGCTTTGTTTATTCAGTGACTGCTGGTGGCTTAATTTGCCTGAGCCACCCAGTTCTGGGGGACAGAAACCAGCCATCTTCAATGCCGTGTCCCTCGGCGATGTGTTGTAACGTCTGGAGGTGGGTAGGTTGTCACAGCTGGGGTGGATGAGTTACTGGCCTGTTACGGAGGCTTGACTTACCACTGACACCCTACAGCTCACAGGACAACAGAGAATTAGTGTCCCCAAATGTCACTATGCTCAATCTGGGACACCCTGAGGTAAATTGTCAGCTCCTGGGGTAGTCCATCTCAACTTTTTTTGTTGTTGTACATGATTTTTCTGTTACTATTAATAAAAAAAAATGAAAAAGAAAAAACTTTCCCCTTAGCAACTGGGACCACAGCTCATTTGGTAGAGTTCTCATACCTTGTTAGGAAGCTGAGGCAGGAGGAGCACCTTGAGTTCAAGAGCAGACCAGGCTACATAGGCTCAACCCCCAACATGTGTGGCATGTGTTTCAGCACCAGGGGGGATCAGGAATTCAAGGTCACCCTCCACTACACAATGAGTTCAAAGCTAGCCCAAGCTACATGAGAGACCCATGGGGGCACTTACACGTTCTATTTTGCTTGCTATTGTTGTGATGAATGCCACAACCAGAACCAATGTGGAGAAAAAAGGGTTAATTTCAGTTTACAGTTCCATCTGGTGGTCCTTCACCAAAGGAAGTCTGAGCCAGAACTCAAACCAGGCAGGAACCTGGAGGCTGGAACTGAAGCAGAGGCCATGGAGGGGAGCTCACTGACTTGTTCCTTATAGAAACCAGTACCACCTGGCCAGGGTTGATGACACCCACACTGGGCTGGGCTCTGCCGTATCAATTATTAATCAAGAAATGTCCCACAGACGTGCCTGTTGGACATGTTTTCTCAGTTGAGGTTCCCTCTTCCCAGGTAACTCTAGCTTGTGTCAAATTGAAAAAAAAAAAAAAAGCCTAACTAGCACATACTAGATACTAGTTTTTTGAGGCCAGCCATGACACATGACCTTCCGACTAGTTGATCGGAGCCTGTATAATGAATGCCAGAGACAGAGCTGAGTTCTGGTTCAGGAGACTTGAGTTCTGGTTCAGGAGACTGTATGGATGACTCCTGGTGAATTGGGGTGACAGGCTGGCAAGGCACAGCTTGGGGTAGTTAAACATGTCTAGGAGTTCAAAGTCAGCTCAAAGGAGGGACCAGAGCTGAGGGCTTCGTGGGCAGCTCAGGCCTTTGTGCCCCCATCTCTCACAAAAAGGTTTCGTTTCATTCTCCTGGGCTGACCGTCTGTTGTCAGGCCCCCAGGAAAGCCAACCCAGCTCAGGAGTTCCTCGCAAGTGTGGGGTCCCTCCTTCCTTTATAACCAGTCTGGAGAATGGGACCACAGGGGATTCAGTCAAGGAAGGGGTCACCTGCTGTGACCCAGGTCGGTGCTGCCCTGGGACAGTGTCTTCAAGGATGATCCTTGCCCCGGGCAAGGTGTGGGGAGCCCGTGTAGGTGCCACACCAAGGGACTGTTTACTGACCGCCTACTCCGTGTCTCACCTCATGCTACTGGGGAGCAGCAGGCAGTGAGGACGCAGAGCACGTGGAAGTCACATGGCCCCTGTGGGGAGGTCAGTTAGAGCGGTGTGGAGTGGGAGCGAGGGAGACCATGGATAAGATGGACACAGCCCCACCCCCCTTACATTTCAGTGGGCCACATGGCTCATCCCAGAAGCTGACACTTTAGGCAGAACGCTTGTCACGCCGCCACCACTGAGTCATGTCTTCACGGCTTAAGTACGCATCACTTTCACTTCTGTGTCCTCACTTCCTGCTGCACCCCAGTGCAAGTAGCATGAGGTGTGACATGGGGTAGACGTTCAGTAAACAGTTCCTCGGTGTGTGCGTGTGTGTGTGTGTGTGTGTGTGTGTGTGTGTGTGTGTGTGTGGTTCCCCACACCTTGCCCAGGGCAAAGAACACCCTTGTTAGCCCCGACAATGAAGGGCTACAGGGAATCTGATGTACTGGAGTCCTGCCCCCCCACCCCAAACCCACCAGGGCTTTACACTGTGTCAAGCAAGTTTGAAACAGGCAAGGGATGGTGGCGTGGGCCAGAGGGACCTGGGCTCAGGGGCTCCTGGGCTTCGGGTGATTTAAGCATCAGAAGGAGCATGGTGGTGAATGCCTATAATCTCGCCTCAACACTGGAGAGGCTGAAGCCAGGAGTGAGGGAAACCTTTGCTACATAGTGAATTCTAGGGCAACCTGGGCTACAGAGTGAGACCTTGCCTCAAAACAAACAGACAGACAGATATTAACTGCATGATTGATTGATAAATGATAGATAGACCATTGATAGATGATGAATAGATCTATGTGCATATATACTGAAAATAAGGATGGCATGAAGATCTTTTTTTCTCTCTTCTTATATCTTTACATAGTATCAAGCTTACAGAAAAGTCACAGGAATTGTACAAAGTCTCCATGTTTACCCAATGTCTGTAAATGTTGCTTTAACCTAGTCTGCTCCCTGTTTCTCCTTTCCTGTCTCCATTCCTTGGTATTTAAAAGTGAGTTCTGATCTATCCCTCTATCATGTACTAATCAATCCATGTAATGTACCATCTGTCTGTCTGTCTGCTGTCTATCTTATCCATCAATAATCTATCTTGTATATTAGTCTATTATCTATCTACCATCCATACCTGTCTATCTACCTGCCATCTGTTTAACATGACCACTCCATGGCATGGTTAAGGGGAAGGCTTTTACTGTAGAGAGAGAGAGAACAGCCAGAGGATCTGGAAGAGTCCAGGGCAGAGAGAGAAAGAAGTAGACTGGACATGGCCAGCAGACTGGACACGGCCAGGGCTGCCTGTGAAAGAGGGGAGGACAACAGCAGGGGATAGAGAATGAGAAAACACAGGGAGAAGAGCAGGAGCCGAGCAGGGAGAAAACAGTGAGAACAGCAGGGTTATAAGGAGAATGGGTGGGGGGGAGGGGAGGAGAAGGGAGCCTGCCAGCTGCAGGGAGTTTGGGGGAGGGGAGGAGGTGAGAAGGGCTAGGATGCTAGCCTGGACTTTGAATGTGTGACAGGTACTTGTGATAACCTGCATGAGCTTTGATATGCTGATAGGCGCCACATGTAGCCCTAGTCCCTTCTGCCAGAGGTAAGGAAATGACTCCTTCCTCACAAGTTCCTGAGGAATGCTGGCCTTTATATAACCTTCAGAAATCCTTCTATAGTCCGGGTTTAGCCCATTTTTTGGACATTTTGGCTCTCTTTTGGGTTTGGGGAATTGCAGTTTCTTCTGGACTTGACACCTTTCACTCATCTATCTGCCATCTCCCCCTCTGTCTATACCTTCCTGCTATCACCCAGCTTGTTTGCTACCCATGCATCCCGTCTGTCGACCCACTCCCCCCTAACATCTATCATACCTATGTATCTGTCAATTATCGCTCCCCATCTATCAACTACTCTTTTGTCTTTGGACACTTGTCACCCACTTACCGGTGCCTATGTCTTCCCCATGCTATTCTGTGACACGGACTTAGCGAAAGCGTCTTCCTCAGGAAGTAACTGGAGCAGCGTTATCGGCCCTGCAGATCTTATTACATTTGACCAGCCGTGTCACTGATGTTCGCTGTCTGGAGGAAAATGCAAGGCCAGCTTTGTGGTTCTTGGGTGCTAAGAGTTCTCAACTGGCAGAGCCTGGGTGCTTTCCACATCTCAGGCTGAACCAGAATGGAGCTGTCACTCTGCAGGCTCACCTGCTTCCTGCTGTCGCAGCAGACCACCTGCCTGTCAAGCTTCCTTATTCTTCCTCAGTAATCAGGTGCCAGAAGTTTCCCATGAGTCCTCCGAAGAGCTGAGGGAGGGGCTGCACCAGTCACCTGCTCATGACCTCCACATGTATGATTAGGGCCCACTGGAGCTGGCCCCATGTGTATGCTCCGTTGACCATGGAACATTTTGACTCACTGGCTTTGTA